ACCCCCCGACCCCCCTGCAGCCCCCCAAACCCCCCCGCAGGGCCCCGTCCCTCCAGCCCCCCAAACCCCCCAGCAGGGCCCCGTCCCTCCAGCCCCCCAAACCCCCCAGCAGGGCCCCGCCGGCGACTCCAAGGTACCGACCCCCCCGGTCCCACCAGCCCCCCTGCAGCCCCCCCCAAACCCCCCCGCAGGGCCCCGTCCCTCCAGCCCCCCAAACCCCCCCAGCAGGGCCCCGCCGCGACTCCAAGGCCCCGACCCCCCCCCCGACCTCCCACCCCCCTGCAGCCCCCCAAACCCCCCAGCAGGGCCCCGCCGGCGACTCCAAGGTACCGACCCCCCCTGGACCCCGACCCTCCAGTCCCTCTGCAGCCCCCCAAACCCCCCAGCAGGGCCCTGCCCCCTGGGACCCCGACCGTCCAGTCCCCCAAACTCCCCAGCAGGGCCCTGCTGGCGACTCCAAGGTACCGAGCCCCCATTAGCATCAAGGTTTCGGGGGCCCCCTGGCACTGATCTCCTCATCTTTTCTCCCGGCGGTGTTATGTGGAGCCCTGCCAGGCCCTCGTCTCACTTTTGTCTGCCTGCTGGGGGCGCTCTAGGCGGGCCAGTCTCACTCCGTGGCCCCGCAGTTGGAGTGGGGAGCTGTGGGGGTCCTCTGGGGCAGGGGGGCGCTCCGGGGGCAGGGCGGTCGGTCGGTCGCAGGGGGGCGCTCTGGGGGCGGTCGGGTCGCCCTCTGGAGGCGCCCTCCCCCCGGCCCGCCCTCACCCCACGGCCCCGCAGTCGGAGCAGGACCAGGCGGAGAACGAGGGGGAGGACAGCGCGGCGCTCATGGACCGGCTCTGCAAGTTCATCTACGCCAAGGACCGCACGGACCGGATCCGCACCTGCGCCATCCTCTGCCACATCTACCACCACGCCCTGCACAGCCGCTGGTTCCAGGCCCGCGACCTCATGCTCATGTCCCACCTGCAGGACAACATCCAGCACGCCGACCCCCCGGTGCAGGTAGGGGCCGTGGGGGGCGTCTCCCCGCAGCTCCCGCACGGCCGCCCCATGGGGCGGGGGCGGTGGAGGGTGTGTGGGGAGTGGCACGGGGCCGTGGGGGCCAGGCTGTGGGGGGCGTCTCTCACCCCCTCTCCCCGCAGATCCTGTACGGCCGCCCCATGGGGCGGGGGCGGTGGAGGGTGTGTGGGGAGCGGCACGGGGCCGTGGGGGTGTGGGGGCGGCCGTGGGGGCCAGGCCGTGGGGGCCGTCTCTCACCCCCTCTCCCCGCAGATCCTGTACGGCCGCCCCATGGGGCGGGGGTGGTGTAGGGTGTGTGGGGAGTGGCACGGGGCCGTGGGGGCCGGCCGTGGGGGCCGTCTCTCACCCCCTCTCCCCGCAGATCCTGTACGGCCGCCCCATGGGGCGGGGGCGGTGGAGGGTGTGTGGGGAGCGGCACGGGGCCGTGGGGGTGTGGGGGCGCGTGGGGGTGTGGGGGCCAGGCCGTGGGGGCCGTCTCTCACCCCCTCTCCCCGCAGATCCTGTACAACCGCACCATGGTGCAGCTGGGGATCTGCGCCTTCCGGCAGGGGCTGACCAAGGACGCCCACAACGCGCTGCTGGACATCCAGTCCTCGGGCCGGGCCAAGGAGCTGCTGGGCCAGGGGCTGCTGATGCGCAGCCTGCAGGAGCGCAACCAGGAGCAGGAGAAGGTGGAGAAGCGGCGCCAGGTGCCCTTCCACATGCACATCAACCTGGAGCTGCTGGAGTGCGTCTACCTGGTCTCCGCCATGCTGCTGGAGATCCCCTACATGGCCGCCCACGAGTTCGACGCCCGGCGCCGCATGATCAGCAAGCAATTCCACCATCAGCTGCGCGTGGGCGAGCGCCAGCCGCTGCTGGGTGAGGGCCCCCCACGGCCCCCCACGGCCCCCCGGGCCCCCCACGCCCGGCCCCCAGCCAGCCCCCTGAGCGCCCACCAGCCGCTGCTCGGTGACGCCCCCCAGGCCCCCCCAGCCAGCCCCCCCACGCCCGCCCCCTGAGCGCCGCACCAGCCGCTGCTGGGTGAGGGCCCCCCGACGGCCCCCCAGGTCCCCCCAGCCGGCCCCCCCCCGGGCCCCCCCACGCCCGGCCCCCAGCCAGCCCCCTGAGCGCCGTGCCAGCCGCTCCTGGGTGAGGGCCCCCCCACGGCCCCCCGGGTCCCCCCAGCCGGGTCCCCCACGCCCGGTCCCCCACGCCCGGCCCCCAGCCAGCCCCCTGCCAGCCCCCTGAGCGCCGCGCCAGCCGCTGCTGGGTGAGGGCCCCCCCACGGCCCCCCGACAGCCCCCCGGGTCCCCCCAGCCGGCCCCCCCACACCCGGCCCCCTGAGTGCCGTGCCAGCCGCTGCTGGGTGAGGGCCCCCCCCGGGTCCCCCCAGCCAGCCCCCCCACGCCCGGCCCCCAGGCAGCCCCCTGAGCGCAGCACCAGCCCCTGCTGGGTGAGGGCCCCCGGCCCCACCCCCTGCCCCCACCCTGGGCCCCCCGCGCGCTGCCCCCACACGCAGCCCCCTGACGGCAGCACCAGCCCCTGTGTGTCCCCCAGTGTCCCCCGGGCCAGGTTTCATATGCCCAACAGTGGGCCCCCGGAACGTCCCCCCCACAAGCCAGCCAGGGGACCGGCCCCATAGCGCCTGCCCCCTCTCGCTGCCCCCAGGCCCCCCCGAGTCGATGCGGGAGCACGTGGTGGCGGCGTCCAAGGCCATGAAGATGGGCGACTGGCGAACCTGCCACCGGTTCATCATCAACGAGAAGATGAACGGGAAGGTCTGGGACCTGTTCCCCGAGGCCGACAAAGTGCGAACCATGCTGGTCCGGTGAGTGGGGCCGGGGGCCGGGGCCTGGCGGGGTGCGGCCATAGGTGGGGGGCCGGTTGGGGCCATGCGGGGGGGGGAAGGGTCCCATACCCAGCCATGGGATTTCCCCCTCTGGGGGTGCCCGGAGCGCAGCGAGGGGCGGAGCCTGTGGTGACCACGCCCTCTTTGCTGCCCCCTGCAGGAAAATCCAGGAGGAGTCGCTGCGCACCTACCTCTTCACCTACAGCAGTGTCTACGACTCCATCAGGTAGGGCGGGGCCTGGGCGCTGGGGGCGGGGCCTGGGCGCTGGGGGCGGGGCCTGTCCCTAACCCCCCCTTTGCCCCCCACCAGCATGGAGATCCTGTCGGACATGTTCCAGCTGGACCTGCCCACCGTGCACAGCATCATCAGCAAGATGATCATCAACGAGGAGCTCATGGTGAGGCGCGGGCTGGGGTCCGGCCATGGGGGCCGCCGGGCGCAGGTGGGGCTGGGGGGGGGATACAGGCGGGGTGGGGACGCGGGGCCCAGGCGGGGCTGGAGGGATACAGGGCACTGCAGGGCCCGGGCGGGGGTGGACGCAGGGGGATGTGGGGGACGCAGGGCCTGGGGGGAGGATTCGGGGGGGATGGATGCAGGGCCTGGGGGGGATGCAGGGCACCGAGGGCCGGGGCGGGGGGGGATACAGGGCCCAGGCCCAGGCAGGGCCGGGGGTGGACGCAGGGGGATGTGGGGGACGCAGGGCCCGGGCGGGAGCAGGACACAGGGCACTGCAGGGCCCGGGCGGGAGGCGGGGCCGGGGGTGGACGCAGGGGGATGTGGGGGACGCAGGGCCCAGGCGGGAGGCGGGGCCGGGGGTGGACGCAGGGGACGCAGGGCCCGGGCGGGAGGCGGGGCCGGGGGTGGACGCAGGGGGATGTGGGGGACGCAGGGGCCGGGGGTGGACGCAGGGGGATGTGGGGGCGGGCGGGGTGAGGGGGAGGCGGCCGGGGGACGCAGGGGTGGGGCGCGGCTGGCCGCGCCGCCCGCGCTGACCCCCGGCCCCGCAGGCGTCCCTGGACCAGCCCACGCAGACGGTGGTGATGCACCGCACGGAGCCCACGGCCCTGCAGAACATGGCGCTGCAGCTGGCCGAGAAACTCGGCAACCTGGTGGAGAACAACGAGCGCGTCTTCGATCACAAGCAGGGCACCTACGGCGGGTACTTCCGGGGTGAGTGCCTGCCCCACGGCCTGCCCCACACCCCCCCCCCAGGGCTCCTACGGCGGGTACTTCCGGGGTGAGGGCCTGCCCCACGGCCTGCCCCCCCCCCCAGGGCTCCTACGGCGGGTACTTCCGGGGTGAGGGCCTGCCCCACGGCCTGCCCCACACACACACACCGCCCCCCCAGGGCACCTACGGCAGGTACTTCCGGGGTGAGGGCCTGCCCCACACCAACCCCCGCTCCCTGACACACCGCGCCCCCCCCCCCGGGCTCCTACAGGCGGGTACTTCCGGGGTGAGGGCCTGCCCCACGGCCTGCCCCACCCCCCCCCAGGGCTCCTACAGCGGGTACTTCCGGGGTGAGTGCCTGCCCCACACCAACCCCCGCTCCCTGAAACACCACCTCCCCCAGGGCTCCTACGGCGGGTACTTCCAGGGTGAGGGCCTGCCCCATGGCCTCCCCCCCCCCCCCCAGGGCTCCTACGGCGGGTACTTCTGGGGTGAGTGGCTGCCCCACACCTCCCATAGCGATCTCCCTTGTACACCTCCCGCCCGCAGGGCACCCATCCCCCGGGGTGAGTGCCAGGACCCCAGAGCCTGCCCTCTGCCTCAAACCCCTGGGCCACGCTGGGTATGTGGGGCGAGCCCCTCCCGCGTGGCTGTTTCTAACCCCCTTCTCCCCCAGACCAGAAAGATGGCTACCGCAAGAACGAGGGCGGCTACATGCGCCGGGGCGGCTACCGCCAGCAGGAGCGACAGGCCAACTACTGACCGCCCGGACGCCTGGGTCCTCGCGGGGGGGGGCGGAGGGGAGCGGCCAGTGCTGTATTGGAGCCACAATAAACAGCGTGAGCGGGAGAGACGCAGCCTGGAGTTCCTGGGGGGCTGGGCGGAGGGCCCCGGGGCGGGAGAGGGGCTGGACCCAGAGGGTGGGAAGCAGCCACATGTGGGCCCCTTATCTCTCAGTAGCCCCCACAGGATTGGCCCCGCTGGGCGCCTCCCCCATTCAGCTTGCATGACACGGGGGGGGCCCCGGTGCAGAGGGGGGGCTGGGCCCTGTGGGGTTAATGAGTGACTGCCCTGGGGGTCGCAGTGCAATGGATTTCACTCTCGGCTGGCTCTGCCCCACGGCGGGGGGGCTGACACTGGGCAACCTTCGCTCACAGCCTGGCCGGCCGCAGTGGGCACAATGCTGGGGCGTGGGGGGCGCTGGCTGCAGCAGGCGTGGGGGGCGGCCTCAGGCCCCCCCCAGCCGGCTCCCCGTGGGGCCCAGCTCAGCTTTGACGGCGCCGTCTTCCGGCTCAAGAGCGGCTGGGAGCTGGTGCGGGGGCTGCTGGTGTTCCGGCTGTGCGCCCTGCCGGGGCTGGTGCACCGGGCCCCCACGGTGAGACTGCCCCCCGCTTCGACCCTGCCCCCCGCTTCCCTGGGCCGGGTCCCCCCGCTCGACCCTGCCCCCCGCTTCCCTGGGCCGGGTCCCCCCGCTGAGACCCTGCCCCCCGCTTCCCTGGGCCGGGTCCCCCTGCTGAGACCCTGCCCCCCGCTTCCCTGGGCCGAGCCCCCACGGTGAGACCCTGCCCCCCGCTTCCCTGGGCCGGGTCCCCCCGGTGAGACCCTCCCCCCTTCCCTGGGCCGGGTCCCCCGGTGAGACCCTGCCCCCGCTTCCCTGGGCCGAGCCCCCACAGTGAGACCCTGCCCCCCCGGGTCCCCCGCTGCCCCCCCCGCTTCCCTGGGCCGGGTCCCCCTGAGCCCCCCCCCTTCCCTGGCCGACCCCCGGTGAGACCCTGCCCCCCCTTCCCTGGGCCCCCCTGAGACCCTGCCCCCCGCTTCCCTGGGCCGGGCCCCCACGGTGAGACCCTGCCCCACGCTGCCCCCCTTCCCTGGGCGGGTCCCCCCCTGAGACCCTCCCCCGCTTCCCTGCCGAGCCCCCACAGTGAGACCCTGCCCCCGCTTCCCTGCCGGTCCCCCCCTGAGACCCTGCCCCCGCTTCCCTGGGCCGGGGCCCCACGGTGAGACCCTGCCCCCTGCTTCCCTGGGCCGGGTCCCCCTGCTGAGACCCTGCCCCCCGCTTCCCTGGGCCGAGCCCCCACGGTGAGACCCTGCCCCACGCTGCCCCCTGCTTCCCTGGGCCGGGCCCCCATGGTGAGACTTCACCCCCATGAGACCCCTGCTGCTCTGCAAGAATTGCCCCACACCATGGCCAGTAAACTGCCTCTGTGGCCCCCTGCGACAGGCCCCCTGCGACAGGCCCCCCTCAAGGGGCTGTCGATGGGGGTCGCTGACTCCCCCTCTCCTCCCCAGCTGCTCTCCGTGTCCCGGAGGCTGCTGGGGCGCCGGCTCTGGGGGTCCCTGCTGCGCGCCTCCTTCTACGGGCAGTTCGTGGCGGGGCAGACGCCCCCCGAGGTGGGGGTCACAGTGCAGCGCCTCCGTGCCCTGGGGCTGCGCCCCCTCCTGGCCGTGCCCATCGAGGAGGACGTGGGGCAGGACAAGGAAGGGTAGGGGCGGCCATGGGATTATTGGGGGGCATCATGGGAATCCAAGGGGGATTGGTTACGGGGAGTCCCAGGGGATGGGGTCTTGGGGGGGCCAGTGGGGATGGTCCCAGAGGGCGGGTTCCATGTTCCAGAGGTTGCGGGGGCCCAGCTCTCTCCCCCCTGCAGGGAGGGCTGGTCTGAGGGGAGCTGTGAGGTGGGGGTCCGTGTGGTGGCCCAGCTCTCTGTCCCTGCGGGGGCTGGTCCGAGGGACCGGGGGCTGTGGGGTGGGGGTGTGCGGGGGCCCAGCTCTCTCCCCCCTGCAGGGAGGGCTGGTCTGAGGGGAGCTGTGAGGTGGGGGTCCGTGTGGGGGCCCAGCTCTCTGTCCCTGCGGGGAGGGCTGGTACGAGGGGAACCGGGGGGCTGTGGGGTGGGGGTCCGTGTGGGGGCCCAGCTCTCTGTCCACGTGTGGAGGGCTGGTCCGAGGGGAGCCGGGGGCTGTGGGGTGGGGGTGTGTAGGGGCCCAGCTCTCTGTTCCTGCGGGAGGGCTGGTCCGAGGGAGGGGGGCTGTGGGGTGGGGGTCCGTGTGGGGGCCCAGCTCTCTGTTCCCGCGGGGAGGGCTGGTCCGAGGGGAGCCGGGGGCCTGTGGGGTGGGGGTCCGTGCGGGGGCCCAGCTCTCTGTCCCTGCGCGGGAGGGCTGGTCCGAGGGGAGCCGGGGGGCTGTGGGGTCCATGCGGTGGCCCAGCTCTCTGTCCCCGCAGGGAGGGCTGGTCCGAGGGGAGCCGGGGGGCTGTGGGGTGGGGGTCCGTGCGGGGGCCCAGCTCTCTGTTCCCGCGGGGAGGGCTGGTCCGAGGGGAGCCGGGGGGCTGTGGGGTGGGGGGTCCGTGCGGGGGCCCAGCTCTCTGTTCCCGCGGGGAGGGCTGGTCCGAGGGGAGCCGGGGGCCTGTGGGGTGGGGGTCCGTGCGGGGGCCCAGCTCTCTGTCCCTGCGCGGAGGGCTGGTCCGAGGGGAGCCGGGGGGCTGTGGGGTCCATGCGGTGGCCCAGCTCTCTGTCCCCGCAGGGAGGGCTGGTCCGAGGGGAGCCGGGGGCTGTGGGGTGGGGGTCCGTGCGGGGCCCAGCTCTCTGTTCCCGCGGGGAGGGGCTGGTCCGAGGGGGCCGGGGGCCTGTGGGGTGGGGGTCCGTGCGGGGGCCCAGCTCTCTGTCCCTGCGCGGAGGGCTGGTCCGAGGGAGCCGGGGGCTGTGGGGTCCATGCGGTGGCCCAGCTCTCTGTCCCCGCAGGGAGGGCTGGTCCGAGGGGAGCCGGGGGGCTGTGGGGTGGGGGTCCGTGCGGGGGCCCAGCTCTCTGTTCCCGCGGGGAGGGCTGGTCCGAGGGGAGCCGGGGGCCTGTGGGGTGGGGGTCCGTGCGGGGGCCCAGCTCTCTGTCCCTGCGGGGAGGGCTGGTCCGAGGGGAGACGGGGGCTGTGGGGTGGGGGTCCGTGCGGGGGTCCAGCTCTCTGTCCCCGTAGGGAGGGCTGGTACGAGGGGAACCGGGGGGCCGTGCTCGGCTGCGTGGGGCTCTCGGCCCAGGGGGGGACCCCAGCCCATGATGCAGCTGAAGGTGACGGCCCTGATGAGCGCCTGGCTCTGTGTGAGTACCGGGGGGGGGCTCCCGACGCCCCCTTTTGTCGGGAGATTTGGGAGCAAAAGAGGCAGGAAGCTTGGGACTCTGCTCCATGCCAATGGGGGCTTGAGGGGCTGGGTCCCGGACGCCTGGGTCCCCTCATTGCTGCCCATGCCAATCTGCTTGCAGGCTGGGGTGGGGGGCGGAGAGCCCACTGACTAGGGGGAGGGAGGGGAGCAGGAAGCGGGATGGGGCTGAGGGAGTGCTGGGGGCAGGAAGCGAAGGGGTGTGGGGGTAGGGGGCAGGATGGGGGTGCCCCTGACTCCCCCCCGTTTCCCCCCCAGAGGACGGTGTCGCTGCAGCTGGAGGAGCCGGGGAGGAGGTCGGAGCTGAGCACGGACAGGCTTGCGGCCGTGATGGGTGGAGAGGTCAGTGGTGTCCCCTCGCCCCCAGTCCTGCCCCTAGGGCGGCCCCATCACTGAGACATGGGGGGCTGGCTCTGTCCCGGCCTTTAGCCAGGCCCTGAGTGTGACGCCAGGGCCCCTGCCCCACCCTGCTCCCCCCACTCTTTAGCCCCAGCCAGGATCTCTCCCCCCGCAAGGTCTCGGGGCCAGCCGGGACCACGCAGCATCTGCCAGTCCCAGGGGCGCTGGGGCCAGGCCGGAGGGGCTCAGCTTACCCCTCTGAGCCCCCCATCGGGGGCCCGCCCTGCCCCACCCCCAGGTGACCCTGTGCAGACGCGGGTGCGGATTCCTTAGAGCTGGACCAACCCTCCCCCTAACGCTGCCCCCAGGAGGCGAACTTCTCCGGCCTGAGCCCCGCCGAGAACCGGCACCTCCAGGCCTCCCTGCTGCGGCTGGACGGGGTCACCCAGGTCAGAGCTGGGGCCGCACCCAGGAGTTGGGGGGTGCAACGGGTGGGGTCTGTCACTTGGTGGGTCTCAACATGTCGGGCCAATGGAGGTCCTGGGGGTCGGACGGGGTCAGGCTGTCTCCCCCAGCGGACGGTGGAGGCAGGCGGGTGCCAGAGGTACTAGGGGTCTGACTGTGTCTCTCCCCAGCGGGCGGTGGAGGCGGGTACCAGGGGGTCTGACGGTGTCTCCCCCAGCGGGCGGGTGCCAGGGGTCTGACGGTGTCTCTCCCCAGCGGGCGGTGGAGGCGGGTACCGGGGGTCTGACGGTGTCTCTCCCCAGCGGGCGGTGGAGGCGGGTACCGGGGGTCTCACGGTGTCTCTCCCCAGCGGGCGGCGGAGGCGGGTACCGGGGATCTGACTGTGTCTCTCCCCAGCGGGTGGCGGAGGCGGGTACCGGGGGTCTGACGGTGTCTCTCCCCAGCGGGCGGTGGAGGCGGGAACCAGGGGTACCGGGGGTCTGATGGTGTCTCTCCCCAGCGGGCGGTGGAGGCGGGTACCGGGGGTCTGACGGTGTCTCTCCCCAGCGGGCACCGGGGGTCTGACGGTGTCTCTCCCCAGCGGGCGGTGGAGGCGGGTACCGGGGGTACCGGGGGTCTGACGGTGTCTCTCCCCAGCGGGTACCGGGGATCTGACGGTGTCTCTCCCCAGCGGGCACCAGGGGTACCGGGGGTCTGACGGTGTCTCTCCCCAGTGGGCGGTGGAGGCAGGTACCGGGGGTACCAGGGGTCTGACTGTGTCTCTCCCCAGCGGGTGGCGGAGGCAGGTACCGGGGGTCTGACGGTGTCTCTCCCCAGCGGGCGGTGGAGGCAGGTACCGGGGGTACCAGGGGTCTGACTGTGTCTCTCCCCAGCGGGCGGCGGAGGCGGGTACCGGGGCTCTGATGGTGTCTCTCCCCAGCGGGTGGCGGAGGCGGGTACCGGGGGTCTGACGGTGTCTCTCCCCAGCGGGCGGTGGAGGCGGGTGTGCGGGTGCTGGTGGATGCCGAGTACACCTACGTGAACCCCGCGCTGACGCTTGTCACCCTGGCGCTGATGGGGCGTTGGAATCGCACCCAGCCCTGGGTGTGGAACACCTACCAGTGTTACCTGCAGGTACCCCCACCCCGGCCTGCACCCCCGGGCCAGCCTCCCCCACGGCCCCCGGCCTGGACCCCACGGCCGGCCTCCCCCCAAGCCCCGCCCTGAGCCCGGCGCTGCTCTCTCACAGGACTGCCTGGCGCGGCTCGGTGCGGACGCGGCGCTGGCCGAGCGTCGGGGCTTCTGTTTCGGGGTGAAGCTGGTGCGTGGGGCCTACTTGGAGCAGGAGCGGCGGCTGGCGCGGGAGCGGGGATACCCTGACCCCCTGCACCCCACCTGGGAGGCCACCAACCACAGGTGAGTGGGAGAGGGGGTTGGACACCTGGCTCCCCCCGGCCTCTGCCACCTTGATCCCAACAGGAAGCTGGGGGGCCTGTGGTGACCCCATGGTTTGCACGCATGTGTGGTGGGGTGCAGGACACCTGGGTCTCATGCTGAACGGGTGGAGCAATGATCCGGGGGGGGCAAGGTTGAGGGTGCAGGATGCCCGGGCCCATGCTGGCGCTGGGCGAGCTTGGGGCGCGGGAGGCCCGGGGTCCGGGCTGGGCGAGCTTGGGGCGCGGGGGTCCCGGGCCCGGGCTGGGCGAGCTTGGGGCGCGGGGGGCCCGGGCCCGGGCTGGCGCTGGGCGAGCTTGGGGCGCGGGGGGCCCGGGCCCGGGCTGGCGCTGGGCGAGCTTGGGGCGCAGGGGGCCCGGGCCCGGGCCCGGGCTGGCGCTGGGCGAGCTTGGGGCGCGGGGGGCCCGGGCCCGGGCTGGCGCTGGGCGAGCTTGGGGCGCGGGGGCCCGGGCCCGGGCTGGCGCTGGGCGAGCTTGGGGCGCGGGGGCCCGGGCCCACGCTGGCGCTGGGCGAGCTTGGGGCGCGGGGGCCCGGGGCCCGGGCCCACGCTGGGCGAGCTTGGGGCGCGGGACGCCTGGGTCCCAGGCCCACGCTGGTGCTCTGTATTGCAGCTACGAGCGCTGCCTGGACCTGCTGCTGGAGCTGGTGGCTCGGGACGGGCAGCGGTGCCAGCTAATTGTGGCCAGCCACAACGAGGCCTCTGTGAGCCACACCGTCCGCAGGTCAGTGGGGTGGGGTGGGGGGCAGGCCCTCCAGCGGGCACGGCTCCCTCCTGCCCGGCGTGGAAGCGGGGGGTGGGGGGGGTGAGGGCAAAGGACGGGAAGGGGGTCAGAGGCCTAATCCGGGTCCCGTTACAGGATGGAGGAGCTGGGCATTGCCAAGGACGGAGGGGCTGTCTGCTTCGGGCAGCTGCTGGGCATGTGTGACCACGTCTCCCTGGCCTTGGGTACATGCCCCCCGCGGCCCCCTCACAGCACGTGCCCCCCCCACAGAGCCCCCCTGCTGCCCCCCCTCAGAGCGTGCAACACCCCCCGCTGTTCCCCCCCAGCGTGCGGCGCCCCCCCCCGCTGTCCCCCCCCCACAGCGCGTGGCGCCCCCCCGCTGCCCCCCCCTCACAGCGCGCGGCAACCCCCCCAGCATGCGGCGCCCCCTGCTGACCGTCTCTCTCTTGCAGGCCAGGCTGGGTACGCCATCTACAAGTCGATCCCCTACGGGGCGGTGGAGGACGTGCTGCCGTACCTGGTGCGCCGGGCCCAGGAGAACCAGAGCGTGCTGCAGGGCACCCGCAAAGAGCGGGACCTCCTCCGCCAGGAGCTCTGGAGGCGCCTGCAGCGCCGCCCCTGAGGAACCCCGGCGTCCGAGAGAACCGCTGCCCCCCAGAACCCGTCCTGCTCTTTCCCCCAGAGACTGTGGGAGTGGGGGCCTTGGCCTGAGTCAGTCAGCCTGTCGCCTCCCACCCTGCCCTGAGGGATTCTGGGAGGGGGGAATTGGGGCCTGACTTACCCAGCTAGGCTCAGGGAGGGCGGGGGGGTGGTACGGGACACTCCTGTCCATAGCCCCCACCCCCTACTCCCAGCAACCCCCTGGAAGTGGGAACCCCCAATGATTCTGCCACTGCCTGCCCAATAAAAGCAAATCATCTCACCTCCTGGTTTCAGAGGAGCAGCCGTGTTCGTCTGTATCCGCAAAAAGAACAGGAGGACTTGTGGCACCTTAGAGACTAACACATTTATTTGAGCATGAGCTCACCTGAGCTACAGCTCACTTCATCGGATGCTCACTGTGGAAAATACAGTGGGGAGATTTATATACATAGAGAACATGAAACAATGGGTGTTACCACTACAAAAGGTTTTCTCTCTCCCCACCCCACTCTCCTGCTGGTAATAGCTTATGTAAAGCGTAGGATACAATGTGTATGATAATCAAGGTGGGCCATTTCCAGCACAAATCCAGGGTTTAACAAGAACGTCTGAGGAAGGGGGGGGGGGGGGTTAGGAAAACAAGGGGAAATAGGTTACCTTGCATAATGGCTTAGCCACTCCCAGTCTCTATTCAAGCCTAAGTTAATTGTATCCAATTTGCAAATGAATTCCAATTCAGCAGTTTCTCGCTGGAGTCTGGATTTGAAGTTTTTCTGTTGTAATATCGCAACTTTCATGTCTGTAATCACGTGACCAGAGAGATTGAAGTGTTCTCCGACTGGTTTATGAATGTTATAATTCTTGACATCTGATTTGTGTCCATTTATTCTTTTGCATAGAGACTGTCCGGTTTGGCCGATGTACATGGCAGAGGGGCATTGCTGGCACAGATCACGTTGGTGGATGCGCAGGGGAACGAGCCTCTGATCGTGTGGCTGATGTGATTAGGCCCTGTGATGGTGTCCCCTGAATAGATATGTGGGCACAGTTGGCAATGGGCTTTGTTGCAAGGATAGGTTCCTGGGTCAGTGGTTCTGTTGTGTGGTATGTGGTTGCTGGTGAGTATTTGCTTCAGGTTGGGGGGCTGTCTGTAGGCAAGGACTGGCCTGTCTCCCAAGATCTGTGAGAGTGATGGGTCGTCCTTCAGGATAGGTTGTAGATCTTTGATGATGCGCTGGAGGGGTTTTAGTTGGGGGCTGAAGGTGACGGCTAGTGGCATTCTGTTATTTTCTTTGTTGGGCCTGTCCTGTAGTAGGTGACTTCTGGGAACTCTTCTGGCTCTGTCAATCTGTTTCTTCACTTCCGCAGGTGGGTATTGTAGTGTTTCCCCCTTCCAAAGCCGTGTTTATTGACTGAACGGGGGCCCAGTGGGGTGGGGCTGGGTAGTGATGCCGAGCTCAGCTCCAGCCCCGTGAAGGGGGAAACCGTATCAGCCCGTCAGGAAGTGAACCCAGGCATCCTGGCTCCCAGCACTCCCTGCTCTAGTCCCTCTGTCCGCCCCGAGCTGCAGGGGGCTGCTAGGCACTGCTGGGCCCAGGTGTCACGGAGGCCCTGGGCGATGCTCTGGAACTGCTCCCTCCGGAGCCGGGCAGGACTCTGGGGCAGTCTCCTCTCGGGGAGCAGCCTGTCTGCAGGACACACAGCTCACCCGGCTCCACCTTCCTGTGTCTGACCTCGGAGCATTCAGCCTCCTCTGCCCCTCCGGGCGCTTCCCACAGTGAGTCCGCTCAAGCGGGATCCTAGGGGGGCCAGAGGGTCCTGCCCCTCAACTCCGCAGTCAGACATGACTCTCCGCCAGCCGGGGAAACAGGAGGTTTATTAGACAACAGGAACATGGTCTAACACAGAGCTTGCAGGTGCAGAGAACAGGACCCCTCAGCTGGATCCATTTTGGGGGGCAGTGAGCCAGACAACCCTGTCTGCCCTTCACTCCTCGTCCCCAGCCAGCCCCAAACTGAAACTCCCTCCAGCCCCCCCTCCTCTGGGCTTTGTCCCTTTCCGGGGCCAGAAGGTCACCGGATTCCTTTGTTCTCCAACCCTTTAGCTCTCACCTTGCAGGAGGGAAGTGGCCAGGCCATCAGTGGCCAGGAGACAGAGTGTCGGCCATTTATGGACCCTGGCCCTTTGCAACAATCACACCCCCTGCCTTACCCCACCCCCTAGAGACTTACGAACTGCCTAGGAGAAACTGAGGCACCTGTACAATATTCAGAGGAAACATTAAGAACAGTCCCACTTCGTCACACCAGGGCTTGGTGTGGGGCAGAGCTCAGTGACCCGACTAGTGCGTTGCGAGACGTTTGCTAGGTGGGGTGGCTCCTGGAGGGTGTCTGGTGTGTCCCCCATCCTCATGCAGGTGGGGACGGTGCCCTCCAACAGGGCCTCTTCCCAGGCTGGATCTGCCTCCCTTGGGGGGTGGGGTTCCCAGTGCTTCTGCCTCTGTCAGAGCAACACAGACTGTCATGGCCCTGCCTTCCCCTGCTCAGTGTGACAGCTGGGGCCGTTCTCCAGGGGGCGCCAGCTCCCACCCAGCCCCAGGGGGGACAGGCTGGCTCAGGGGACGGGGCATGGGAGCCGGGGCCGTTATCCGGCCCCAGGGGGGACAGGCTGGCTCAGGGGACGGGGCATGGGAGCCGGGGCCGTTATCCGGCCCCAGGGGGGACAGGCCGGCTCAGGGGACGGGGCATGGGAGCCGGGGCCGTTATCCGGCCCCAGGGGGGACAGGCCGGCTCAGGGGACGGGGCATGGGAGCCGGGGCCGTTATCCGGCCCCAGGGGGGACAGGCCGGCTCAGGGGACGGGGCATGGGAGCCGGGGCCGTTATCCGGCCCCGGGGGGGACAGGCCGGCTCAGGGGACGGGGCATGGGAGCCGGGGCCGTTATCCGGCCCCGGGGGGGACAGGCTGGCTCAGGGGACGGGGCATGGGAGCCGGGGCCGGCCGGGGCGGGGTGTATCCGGCCCCGGGGGGGGACAGGCTGGCTCAGGGGACGGGGCATGGGAGCCGGGGCCGTTATCCGGCCCCGGGGGGGACAGGCTGGCTCAGGGGACGGGGCATGGGAGCCGGGGCCGTTATCCGGCCCCGGGGGGGACAGGCTGGCTCAGGGGACGGGGCATGGGAGCCGGGGCTGTTATCCGGCCCCGGGGGGGACAGGCTGGCTCAGGGGACGGGGCATGGGACCCAGGGCCGTTCCCCTCCAGGGGGCGCCAGCTCCCTTTTGGCCATGGGGCAGGGGACTGGCTGGCTCAGGGCCGGGGGGAGTGAAATATGGCCCCATCTCAGTACCCCTCTCCCCTGCGCACTATCTCACCTTCCTCCTCTGCTGCCGAACCTGCAGGAAGGAAAGACAAGGCCTGTGGGTGCGTGAGGCCCCCAGAGTGCCGCAGGAGTGAGTCAGGAGTTGGGGGGCTCTTACCCAGAGTGCTCCGCTCACCAGCACTACCACCGCCAAGCCAATGCCAACACCAACGCCAACACCGGACCAGCCCTTCCATGCCGGCTGCGGCTCTGGGGAGACAAAACCATGGCCAAGTCACTGGCAGGGTCTGGCCCAGCAGGCGAGGCTCCCTCAGCCCCCTCCTGCCCCCCCAGATTCCTGGGTCCTCACCTTCCAGGCCAAGCATCCCGGTGCGGTTCTGCTGGTGGAAGGTGGTGTTGACGATGCAGGTGTAGCTGGCGGTGGGGGAGCAGGGCACGTCAGCCGTGTGGGCGGCGCTATACAGCCCCTGGGGGTCCTTGGCCGCCAGTGTCCTGGCCCCATAGTCCCTGCCAGTGCTGTCGCGGATGGTGACTGTGGCCAGGGGGTAGCCGCCCTCTGCGAGGCATGTCAGTGTCACGTTCTGCAGGGAGGGGGAGCAGGGCTTGGGCTGGAGCCAGGATAGACGATAGGGACCTGTGGGTAAGAGCCACGTGAAAAGGATGGGGTCTACATGAGCTGTTCCCACTCAAGAGAGATCTTGGTGTCATTGTGGAGAGTTCTCTGAAAACACCCACGCAATGTGCAGCTGCAGTCAAAAAAAAGCGAACTATATTAGGAACCATTAGGAAAGGGAGAGATAATAAGATCGAAAATATCATATTGCCTCCATATAAATCCCTGGTATGCCCACCTCTTGAACACTGGGTGCAGCTCTGGGCACCCCAACTCAAAACAGATACATTGGAATTGGAAAAGGTATAGAAAAGGGCAACAACAATGATTAGGGGCATGGAACAGCTGCTGTATGAGGAGAGATTAGTAAGACTGGGGCTGTCCAGCTTGGAAAAGAGAGAGAGGGCTATAAAATCATGGCTGGTGTGGAGAAAGTTAGTTTTATTTATTCCTCGTAACACAAGAACTCGGGGTCACCCAACGACATTAATCGGCAGCAGGTTTAACACAAACACAAGGAAGCATTTCTTCACCCAACGCCCGGACAGCCTGGGGAACTCTGTGCTAGGGGATGTTGTGAGGGCCAAAACTATAACGGGGTTCAACAAAGAGCTAGCTAAGTTCCTGGAGGAGGGGTCCATCACTGGCTATTAGCCAGGCTGGGGAGGGACGCAGCCCCCTGCTCTGAGTGTGCCTAGCCTCTGAGTGCTGGAAGCCAGGACGGGAGTGGACGACAGGGATGGACCCACGCTAATTGCCCGTTCTGTTCATTTCTCTGAAGCGCCTGTCACAGAGGATATGGGGCTAGATGGACCATTGGTCTGACCTGTGCACTGTATTAAAGACAGATGCTACCCAGTCGCAGGGCTGGATAAGAACCCCCTGTGCTCCATTTCCCACTCCTGTGAGCCAGCCTGTCCCCCGACATGGGGCCAGATCAGAGCCGGCACCCCTGAGGGGGGACAGACCCCATATGCCATTCCCCACCCGTGGAGGGGAAAGGCCCTGTGTCCCATTTACCTGTGAGCCGAAGCTCCGTCTCCCTTATGCCCATGCCGCGGTTGCTCTTTACCCGGCACCGGTACCTGCCCTCGTCAGCCAGCGTCACGTTGTGTAGCCGGAGGGCCCCGTCCCCACGCCTGGGCTGCCCAGCTGGGACAGTGGCACGGCCCTGATAGGCCGGGTCGTCATATGAGACCAGGTGTTCCCCTTGGTAGTAGGTGTAGACGTTCCTCTCGCTGTCCAGCCCCAGCCGGGTCCAGTACAGGATCAGGTCCGCCACAGGCGGGTAGGTGCAGTTCAGCACCGCCGTGCCCCCCAGCACAGCCTCCGAGGTCGCGGGCAGCTCCACAGGCAGCTTGTCTGCAATGAGAGAGGGGGTGAGCGGGGGGCTGCGTCCGGGGGTCCCCATGGCTGGGCGAGCTGTACGTACCTGACCCCAGCCCCCGCAGGGAGCCGAGCTGGGTGAGGAGCAGGAGAGCAACGGTAGAGCCTGTGGGGGGAGAGGAGAGCGGTGAGCCTAACCCAGTACCAGCCCCATTCCCACCCTGTCCCCCAGCTCCCTGCCCTGCAGCTGGATCCGAGCTAGCGCCCCCGGGAGGGGAAAGGCCCCGTGTCCCACCCCCAACTCACTCATGGGGCAGCCGGTGCTCTCTCATCAGCACTGGGGCCACGTCCCTGCGGCCGCACCCCGAACCTCTGTGCTGTCGCTGATCCCGTTCCCAGCTGGGCTCAGGCGAAGGGAAAGCAAAAGTGGCCCCGGCAGCCCAGTTCCCTCCCTCTCTTCAGTCTTGATGACCCCAGGCTGAGCAGCCACTTTCATTTTCCCCTGTGGGAGGCTGCTGCGTTGGGTCCCTTTGGCTCTGCCCGGCTGTCCCATCCTGACCCAGCCCCGCTGCTGACTGCGAGCTGTGGGGGAGTGAGGGAGAGCTGCGCAGGGGACTCTGGGAGCTGGGGGGTGGCCCCGTCCCATGCGGGCGTGGCTGGCGCACCCCTGCTCTCTGGGCCTGGTGCCAAGTCCTCTCTGCTCTTGAGTGTTTGGCAGCAGCAAGTCCGCGAAGCCCTCGCTGGCGCCAGTGCTGGCCCCGTGGCCGGGGGAGCCTGGATTTCAACACCCGATCCCTGTACGTTGCCATCTCGCTCTGTCCCCCGCTCGGTGGCACCCACCCAGGCCAATGCCTCTGTGCCTGACCGATGTCCGGCTTTCCCCTGGGGCTCCTTTCCCAGCCAGCCCGGCGCTCCCAGCCTGGATAAAGCCCCTCGGGCCCTGGCAGCTGTGACATGAGCCGCTCCAGGAGCGAACCCACTGCCAAGCCCCAGTAATCCGGCAGGGAGCAGGTTGTCCCCCCGCCTGCTTCTCTAGGGTGTGACTCCGCCCCACCAAGCTAGTGCTGCCAGGCTGCCGTCTGGGCAGCCAGGGCTGGCCCCCCCTGAAGCCCACGACTTGGGGGGTCTGGCTGCACAGCATGGCCCTGGCAGCAGGGGCGAGCTCGGGGCCAGGCAGGCGTGTGCTGGCAGTGAGGGTGTGCACGGCTTGGCCCGCTAGGGGATACCGGGGTTGTGCCATGCCCCCACATGTCACAGGGCTGGCGCGAGTGGCCCCTGTGAGGATGTGAGGCAGCAGGAAGGGGGGAGTGTTGACCTGGGACTGTGCCCTGGGGAGGGGAGACCTGAGAGCCTGTCACCTGAGCCAGGAGGGGGAGGTGACACCTCTGCCCGGGAATGTGAACAGAGGCTGCAGGAGGGGGCCTGCTGGGGGGTTTAGTTTCAGTTTGGGGCTGGGTGGAGGAACGCAGGGAACCCCAGGGCTGGGGTCTGAGCTCCCTGCTCCCCCAGAAGGACTTGACTGAGGGGTCCTGGGTGTACCCACAAGCTCTGTTTTGGACTGTGTTCCTGTGGTGCAATAAACCTTCCGTTTTACTGGCTGGCTGAGAGTCTCAGGGAATCCCAGGAAGAGGGGTGCAGGGCCTGGACTCCCCCACACTCCGTGACAGCCCCCCAGCCCCGCCCCCCCAACCCGCTGCCACAGCCCTGAGCCCCTGCACTCCAACGCCCTCATCCCCAGCCCTGCCCCACCCCAGAGCCTTCACCCCCCCCACACCACAACTCTCTGCCCCAGCCCCGCCCCCAGATCCCCCCCACCCTGAGCCACCCCAGGGCCGTACTCCCCCACACACCCCAACACTCTACCCCTCCCACCCCAAACCCCTCACCCCCCTGTCACGGAGTCCCTGGGCGATGCTCTGGAACGGCTCCCCATGAAGCCAGTCAGGACTCTGGGGCAGTCGCCTTTCTGTGAGCAGCCTGTCTTCAGGACACACAGCTCACCCAGCTTCCACCTTCCTGGGTCTGACCTCGGAGCATTCAGCATCCTCTGCCCCTCCTTGTGCTTCCCACAGCGAGTCCGCCCAGGCGGGGTCCTGGGGAAGCCAGAGGGTCCTGCCCCCCAACTCCGCAGTCAGACAGGACTCTCAGCCAGCCAGTAAAACAGAAGGTTTATTAGACGACAGGAACATGGTCTAAAACAGAGCTTGTAGGTGCAGAGAACAGGACCCCTCAGCTGGGTCCATTTTGGGGGGGGGGCAGTGAGCCAGACAACCACGTCTGCCCTTCACTTCACGTCCCCAGCCAGCCCCAAACTGAAACTCCCTCCAGCCCCCCCTCCTCTGGGCTTTGTCCCTTTCCCGGGCCAGGAGGTCACCGGATTCCTTTGTTCTCCAGCCCTTCAGCTCTCACCTTGCAGGGGGGAAGGGCCCAGGCCATCAGTTGCCAGGAAACAGGGTGTCGGCCATTCTCTGTGTCCAGACCCCTGCACACACCTGCCTTCTAGGGCTCTGCAATGATCATACACCCTTACCCCACCCCCTAGAGACTTAAGAACTGCCTAGGGGAAACTGAGGCACCCCCACAATGTTCAGAGGAAACATTAAGAACAGTCCCACTTCGTCACATCTCCGCCCCAACCCCGCTGTACCCCAGGGCCAGAACCCCCTGCACTCCAACCCTCTGCCCCAGCCCTGAGCCTCCCCCACCCCAAACCCCAGCCCCCACCCCCTGCACTCCAACCCTCTGCCACTGCCCTGAGCCCCACCATCCCCACCCCACAGCCCTCACCCCCCCACCCCTCTGACCCCAGCCCTGAGCCCCCACCCTCATGCCCAGCCCTGAGCCCCCCACTCCAACCCCCTCCGCCCCAACCCCGCTGTACCCCAGGGCCAGAACCCCCTGCACTCCAACCCTCTGCCCCAGCCCTGAGCCTCCCCCACCCCAACCCCAGCCCCCACCCCCTCCTCCAACCCTCTGCCACTGCCCTGAGCCCCACCATCCCCACCCCACCCCTCACCCCTCTACCCCACCCCCCCCCCCTCATCCCAGCCCTAGCCCCCCCCCAACCCCCTCCGCCCCAACCCCCTTACCCCAGGGCCAGAACCCCTGCCTCCAACCCTCTCCCCAGCCCTGAGCCCCCCCCCCCCAAACCCCAGCCCCCACCCCTCCTCCAACCCTCTGCCACTCCCTGGCCCCCCATCCCCACCCCCCCCCCCCCCCCCCCTCACCCCACCCTCCCCCCTCCAACCCCCTCCCCCCAACCCCACTTACCCCGGCCACCCCCTCCTCCAACCCTCTCCCCACCCTGCCCCCCCACCCCAAACACCACCCCCACCCCCTCACTCCAACCCTCTCCATGCCGGCCCCACCTCCCCACCCCACCCCTCCCCCCCCGACCCCGCCCTCCCCCCACTCCAACCCCACCCCACTTCCCCAGCAACCCCCTCACTCCAACCCTCTCCCCCCCTGGCCCCCCCACCCCAACCCCCCCCCACCCCCTCCTCCAACCCTCTCCACTCCCTCCCCCCCCCCCTACCCCCCCTGGCCCCACCCTCATCCCCCCTGAGCCCCCCACTCCAACCCCCTCCGCCCCAACCCCACTGTACCCCGGCCGAACCCCCTCACTCCAACCCTCTCCCCGCCCTGGCCTCCCCCACCCCAAACCCCCCCCCCCCCCTCACTCCAACCCTCTCCACTCCCTGGCCCCACCATCCCCACCCCACGCCCTCACCCCCCACCCCTCTACCCCCCCTGCCCCCCACTCCAACCCCCCCCGCCCCAACCCCACTGTACCCCAGGCCGACCCCCTGCACTCCAACCCTCTGCCCCAGCCCTGAGCCCCCCCCCACCCCAACCCCAGCCCCCTGCACTCAACCCTCTGCCACTGCCCTGAGCCCCACCATCCCCACCCCCACAGCCCTCACCCCCCACCCCTCTGACCCCAGCCCTGAGCCCGCACCCTCATCCCCAGCCCTGAGCCCCCCCACTCCAACCCCTCCGCCCCAACCCCGCTGTACCCCAGAGCCAGACCCCCCTGCACTCCAACCCTCTGCCCCAGCCCTGAGCCTCCCCCACCCCAAACACCAGCCCCCACCCCCTGCACTCCAACCCTCTGCCACTGCCGAGCCCCACCATCCCCACCCCACAGCCCTCACCCCCCCCGACCCCAGCCCTGAGCCCCCCACTCCAACCCCACCCCACTGTACCCCAGGGCCAGACCCCCCTGCACTCCAACCCTCTGCCCCAGCCCTGAGCCTCCCCCCACCCCAACCCCAGCCCCCACCCCCTGCACTCCAACCCTCTGCCACTGCCCTGAGCCCCACCCCCCTGACCCCACCTGCCCCCACCCTCATGCCCACCCTGCCCCCCACCCAACCCCCCCCCCAACCCCACTTACCCCAGACCCCCCTCCAACCCTCTCCCCCTCCCCCCCCCCCCAAACCCCCCCCCCACCCCCTCACTCCAACCCTCTCCCCCCCCACCCCCCACCCCCCCCCACCCCCCCCCCCCACCCCCCCTCCCCCCCTCTCCCCCCTGCCCCCCACCCAACCCCCCCCCCAACCCCCTTACCCCACAACCCCTCCTCCAACCCTCCCCCCCCTCCCCCCCCCCAAACCCCCCCCCCCCCTCCTCCAACCCTCTCCTCCCCCCCCCCCCACCCCACCCCCCCCCCCCCCCCCCCCCCCCCCCCCACCCAACCCCCTCCCCCCAACCCCACTTACCCCAGGGCCCCCTCCTCCAACCCTCTCCCCCCCTGCCCCCCCCCCCAACCCGCCCCCCCCCCTCACTCCAACCCTCTCCACTCCCCACCACCCCACCCCCACCCCACCCCCACCCCACCCTCCCCCACTCCAACCCCACCCCCTGTACCCCAGGGCCACCCCCTCCTCCAACCCTCTCCCCACCCTCCCCCCCCCCCCAACCCCACCCCCACCCCCTCCTCCAACCCTCTCCCTCCTGCCCCCCCCCTCCCACCCCCCCCACCCTCTCCACCTGCCCCCACCCAACCCCCCCCCCCACCCCCTTCCCCCCAACCCCTCCCAACCCTCTCTCCCCCCCCAACCCCCCCCCCCCCTCCCCAACCCTCTCCACTCGCCCCCACCCCCCCCCCCCTCCCCCTCTACCTCCCCCCCACCCCCCCCAACCCCCCCCCGCCCCCTCCCAACCCTCCCCCCCCCCCCCCCACCCCCCCCCCCCCCTCCTCCAACCCTCTCCCCCCCCCCCCCCCCCCCACCCCCTCCTCCAACCCTCTCCTCCTCCCCCCCCCCACCCCCCCCCCCCCCCCCCCCCCACCCCCCCCCCCCCCTCCAACCCCCCCCCCAACCCCCTTCCCCCCACCCCTCCCCAACCCTCTCCCGCCCCCCACCCCAACCCCCCCCCACCCCCTCCTCCAACCCTCTCCCTCACCCCCCACCCCACCCCCGCCCCACCCCCCCCCCTCACCCCCCCTGCCCACCCTCTCCCCGCCCTGCCCCCCACTCCAACCCCCTCCCCCCAACCCCCTGTACCCCGACCACCCCCCTCCTCCAACCCTCTGCCCCAGCCCTGAGCCCCCACTCCAACCCCCTCCGCCCCAACCCCGCTGTACCCCAGAGCCCTCACCGCCCCCTCTGCCCCACCCCGGGGCCGGACCCTCTGCCCCAGCTCTGACCCCAGAGCTCCCCCAGCCCCCGCCCACGTCGCCCTGCGGTCCCAGGCTCTCTGCCGGTCACAAGGCCGGCGGGGGGCGGCCCCGGGCCCACAATGACCCGCCCCCGGGAGCTGGCCCCATGGCGGGGCCGCGGGGTCCGGCCCCACATCCCTGAACCGTGCGCGGGGGGGGGGCGCCAACGGCTACAGCGCGAGCCCGGCCGCGGCCGCCTTTTGGCGCCTTTTTCCCGCTCCTCGCGCCGGGGCAGCCGTTGGGCCCCGCCCCCCGCGGCTCTCTCAGCCAATCACAGCGCGGGTGGCCCCTACCCTAGCCCTCGCCCCCTCCCGTTTCCCCCCCCGCGCATGCGCAGTGACAGCGGCTCGGGCTTTCGCGGCCCCCCGACTTATTTCTTGGGGTCCTCCCTCAGTGCCCGCCCCAGGTGCTGCCTGCCCCCGGGGGGCCTTTCGCACCCTGTGGGGGAGGGAGTGGGCTGCAGCACGGGGGGCAGGGGCTGCCCTGGGGGGGCGGGGCGCAGTCACGCCAAGGGGGGCAAGACTTCGGTGGGCCCCAAAATGGCCGCCCACCCCACGGCCTCGCCCCAAAATGGCCGCCCACCCCACGGCATCGACCCACGGCATTGCTCCAAAATGGCCGCCCACCCCACGGCGGGGCGAGAGCTCCCCCCTCAGGAGGGCGGCCATGGGGCACGTGAAGTGATACGCTCCCCCCCTGCCGCCCGGGGTAGGGAAAACTTTGGCATGGGGGCGGTGGTCATGCCACAGGGGGGCGGGCGTTGGGGTGGCACCAATATGGCCGCCGGGCGTGAAAGGGGGCGAGTGGGCCACTGTGACGCCCCTTCCCCCCCACTCCGGGAGTTAGCTGGGTCACTCTGTCCCCGCCTGCCGTGGGGAGGCCCTTTAGCCCACAGGTCGGCTGGGGGGGACTGTGGTCAAGCCAAGGGTGGAGGAGAGTTTGGTTTGCTCCGCTATGGCCACCCAGCCCGGCATGGGGGGAGAGCGACCCCCGGGGCAGGGATTAATGGGTTGAGAGCACTGGGACCCTGCCTGGGGGGGGAAGCATGGTGTGTGGGGGGGTCATGCCAAGAGTGGGCAAGAGCTTAGTGTGTTCGGACGTGGCCGATCACCCTTCCGTGGGGGAGAGAGGGCAGGAGCACTGGCGGAAAGCCACCCACTGAGAGCACCGATCCTCAGCGTACCCCAAGGGGAACCCTGGGGTGTGTGAAACAGGTGGCACTGTCGGGTGACGCCCCTCCTCCCTTCAGTACAGCCAGCTCTGGTAACCTCCCCTCTACCTCTCCCTCTTTCTAGAGCAATGCCGAAGCCCCCTGTGCTTCCGCCATGCTGCCCCACCAGCCTGGGCTCTGTCCCCGAGCCGGGCTCCCTGGCGGGGCAGTTACACCTGCACGCGACTGAGGGCAGGCTCAGGAAGGCCAAGAAGCTGCTGAAGAGAGGTAAAGCCCCTCAGTGAATCCACCCTGGCCCCGAGAGACCATGGGCCCAGTGTGTAGTGCTCTGTGGGTGATCTTTGTGCCTGCCTCCTTAGGGGTGGACGTGGATGGCCAAAACACAGCTGGACAGACAGGCCTCTTCGTTGCCGCACTGCTGGGACACACTGTGGTCGCCCGGCTCTTCCTCCGGTTCAGAGCAGATCCCAACCAGTGAGTGGCCCTCATGGTGGAGCCAGTGACCTGGGAGAGGAAAGTTCCCACATCCCATTCCCCTCCCTCTGAGCCAACCAGCCCCCTACCTGGGGCCAGATCGGAGCTGGCACCCTGGAAAGGCTCTGGATCCCATTCTCCCAAGCCAGACTGGGAAAATCTTCCCTTGTTGCCCCATGGTCTCGGCTGTGCCTCCCATTCTCATCCTAACACCTGTCCTGTGCACTTCCTTCCCCAGCCGGTGTTATGATGGCAGCACCCCCGTCCATGCTGCCGCCTTCTCCTGCCAGCGGCTCCTCTTCGCCCAAGTCCTGGAGGCGGGAGGTGACCTGAGACTCCATGATCAGCAGGGCAGGACCCCCCAGGACTGGGCCGAACAAGCTGGGAGTGACCAGAATGCCGAGGTACCTGTGCGATTGAGGTGGGAGGGTCTCCAATGCTTAATTTGTAATGAAAGAGGTACCTGGGCTCAAGCAATTTTTGTATATTCACAACTGATGCAGGAAGCCCACAGGCGCCGGGGGCTCTGAACTGCCAGGACTGGAGGCGCCGGAGGCTCTGAACCGCCAGGACCGGAGGCGCCGGTGCTCAGCCCTGGCAAGACATGGCACAAATTAAGCACTGGGGGCCTCTGTATGGGATAAGGAGCTTAGCCTGAATCGTCTCCCTGTTGTCCCCTCCCCCAGGTGCTGGCATTCATTCAGCAGTGCCGTGCCCGAATGGTGGGGCTGACTCAGCACGGGGAGCAGGGAGCCACGCAGACGCTTTCCAGCAGAGTAGGGGGCTCGCCACGCAGCCTGCGTTCCTCCTTCTCCTCCTTGTCCTCGCTGCTCTCTGCCTCCTTCTGGTAAGACCCCTCCCCACAGAGCTGGGGTTCCGACCCTGCAGCAGCTCCCAGCATGCATTGCTCCATCTTGATCCCAGCAGCCATCTTGATGTGAGTGGATGGGAGGTAGCGCATGAGGTTACCATCCCCAGCATGCACTGCTCTGATGAGACTATATGTCCGGCATGTGATGCTCTACCTTGACATGAGTGGATAGGGAGCGTCTTGGTTGCTGGGCTAAAGATGGAGTGTCGCATGCGGGGAACTATAGCACAGAGCCACGCCCTGTCCACTCCCATGGAGATGGAGCATTGCATGATGGGACCTGCACTCTCACAGGCCACACTCCTGTCTGATCATGTCACAGGGATGCATTGCATTCTCGGGGAGCGGGAACCCTATTTTTATTGAGTGGCATGAAACAGCCTCAAGAGTGGATGGATCACTACAAAAACTAATTTTCCCCTGCTGATACCCAGACCTTCTTGTTAACTGTTTGAAATGGGCCACCTTCATTACATGGGCCTCATTAGCATCACAAAAGTGACTTCCATCCGTTCTTGTCAACTGTTGAGACTAGCCCACTTCCACCTTAATTGAATTGGCTCGTTAGTACTGAACCCCCACTTGGTAAGGCAACTCCCTCGAGCAGATCGAGGGACGTGATCGTTCCCCTCTATTCGACATTGGTGAGGCCTCATCTGGAGTACTGTGTCCAGTTTTGGGCCCCACACTTCAAGAAGGATGTGGATAAATTGGAGAGAGTCCAGCGAAGGGCAACAAAAATGATTAGGGGACTGGAACACATGACTTATGAGGAGAGGCTGAGGGAGCTGGGATTGTTTAGCCTGCAGAAGAGAAGAATGAGGGGGGATTTGATAGCTGCTTTCAACTACCTGAAAGGGGGTTCCAAAGAGGATGGCTCTAGACTGTTCTCAATGGTAGCAGATGACAGAACGAGGAGTAATGGTCTCAAGTTGCAGGGGGGGGAGGTTTAGATTGGATATTAGGAAAAACTTTTTCACTATGAGGGTGGTGAAACACTGGAATTCGTTACCTAGGGAGGTGGTAGAATCTCCTTCCTTAGAGGTTTTTAAGGTCAGGCTTGACAAAGCCCTGGCTGGGATGATTTAACTGGGAATTGGTCCTGCTTTGAGCAGGGGGGTTGGACTAGATGACCTTCTGGGGTCCCTTCCAACCCTGATATTCTATGATTCTATGATTCCCATCTTTTCATATGCTGTGGATTTATACCTCCCTGCTGTATGTTCCACTCCATGCATCCGATGAAGTGGGTTTTAGCCCACGAAAGCTTATGCCCAAATAAATGTGTTAGTCTCTAAGGTGCCACAAGGACTCCTCGTTTTTGCTGATACAGACTAACACGGCTACCCCTCTGAAACCAGCCTCAAGAGGGCAGCACAGGGGTGGGGGCTGGTTATAACATGTAGTGTCTGTCTCTGAGACCCCATGTGACTCCAGGCCCTGCTATTTAGAGATGCTCCCCTCCTCTCTCCGCCACAGTGAAGTGCCAAAATGGGGTGGGGAGGGCAGGGCAGGGGGTTAGTGGGTAAAAGTTTAACTTTCAGCCTGCCCCACAGGTTTCTGGACAGCTCTGGGACAGGTTGGAGCGGCAGGGGACCTGTGGTGGGGTTTGGCCAGGTAAGCAGGGGGATGGTTTCAGGTAAACAGGGGTCTCTGTTTGGATCGGTGGAGGGGGCATTCCCTGGTAGCAGGGGTCCCTGAAGGGACCGGGGGATGCGGCGTTCCCAGGTAGGCGGGGTCTTTGAATGGCTGGTGTGGGGGCAGTGTGATGCTCAAAGGTTTAGGGCTTGGTTGGTATGGCCGGATGGGGGGTAACCCGATCTCCATGGGGAGTACTCCCATCTGATCACCCTTGTGTACCCCCCACACAGCTGTGCCCCAGTGGCCCCCTGCGCCCCAGTTTTGCCTCTGTCACCCCCATCGCAGACCCGGACGAGCTGCTGCGGGCCCAGGCCGAGCCAGACCGGAGCTATGAGAATGGGCCCTACACGCTCATGAGCAAGTAAGAGTGGGGGAATGGGGTGTGTGGGAGGGTGATCCCTGATGTTGACCCCACCTTTCTACCACCAGCTGCCTGTGGAAGGGACAGTTCGTCACTGTGCGAGGGCTGAAACCAGAGCCCCCCGGCAGCAGGCCCCACGGCCCCATGGACTTGCTGGTGGCAGAGCAACAGCACTGCAGGTAGCACCCCCCCCCGAATCCCTCTGCCCCGGGCTGTCACGGCGTCCCCGGGCGATGCTCTGGAACTGCTCCCCACGAAGCCAGGCAGGACTCCGGGGCCGTCTCCTCTCTGTGAGCATCCTGTCTGCAGGACACACAGCTCACCCGGCTTCCACCTTCCTGGGTCTGACCTCGGAGCATTCAGCCTCCTCTGCCCCTCCGTGCGCTTCCCACAGTGAGTCTGCCCAGGCGTTATCCTGGGGAAGCCAGGGGGTCCTGCCTCCCAACTCCGCAGTCAGACGTGACTCTCAGCCAGCCAGGAAAACAGAAGGTTTATTAGACGACAGGAACATGGTCTAACACAGAGCTTGCAGGTGCAGAGAACAGGACCCCTCAGCTGGGTCCATTTTGGGGAGGGGGCAGTGAGCCAGACATCCCCGTCTGCCCTTCACTCCTTGTCCCCAGCCAGCCCCAAACTGAAACTCCCCCCAGCCCCTCCTCCTCTGGGCTTTGTCCCTGTCCTGGGCCAGGAGGTCACCGGATTCCTTTGTTCTCCAACCCTTTAGCTCTCCCCTTGCAGGGGGGAAGGGCCCAGGCCATCAGTGGCCAGGAAACAGGGTGTCGGCCATTCTCTGTGTCCAGACCCCTGCACACACCTGCCTTCTAGGGCTCTGCAATGATCATACACCCTTACCCCACCCCCTAGAGACTTAGGAAATGCCTAGGGGAAACTGAGGCACCCCCCACACTATTCAGAGGAAACATTAAGAACAGTCCCGCTTCTTCACACGGGCATCCCGGTCCTGGGGGGCCCTTCCCCTCCGAATCCCTCTGCCCTGTGGACCCCCCTCCCCCCATTAGCGATTGCTGCCCCGTCCCCATGGAGAGCCCCTCCTGTTAGCGGGAGCGGCTGTATGGCTGGTACAACCCCCCTTTTCCCCGTGGGGGGCCCTGCACTGGGCTACACTCCAATAAGCTGCCCTCTCCCTTGTAGCCGTCTGCACCACCCCCAGCTGCTGCTGCTCCTGGCTGTGAGCCCTTCCCTGGACTTGCGTGAGGTGCGTCTGGTGTTCGAGAGGGTGGAGATGGGCTCCCTCTACTGGGCCCTGCACCAAGAGGTGAGCGGGCCTGGGGCCAGGGTGAGGGGCTCCCTCTACTGGGCCCTGAGCCAGGAGGGGAGCCGGCCTGGGGCCAGGGTGAGGGGCTCGGTCTACTGGGCCCTGAGCCAGAAGGGGAGCTGGCCTGGGGCAAGGTGAGATGCTGTCTGCATTAGGAGGGGAGCCAGCCTGGTGCCAGTGTGACGGGCTGTTTGTGCAAGGAGATGGGATGGGAACATGGGGGGGCAAGGGGCTCCCCACTCATGCTGTGACTCCTGCTGCAGGCACCCTGCCCCCCTGCACCCCCCTCCTGCCTGGCTGCCTTGCGCCTGCTGCTGCAGCTGTGTGAGGCGCTGCTGTTCCTGCATGGGCAGGGGTATGTGCATCGTGCTCTCACCTCTCACGCCGTCCAGCTGGTGCGCCCCGGCCTGGCCAAACTCGGCAGCCTGGAGTACATGCAGCCACGGTGAGTCCTGTCAGGATGAGGCCTGGGGGACCCTCGGAGAACCCCGCCCTGATGTCTCTCTCTCTTGGTTTTCAGGGCTGAGACTGGGCCTCGGGACCCCGCACCACCCCCCGATCTCTATAACTGGCTGCCCCCAGAGGTGATCCGTGACCGCCCAGCCTCCACGACCTCCGACCTATACAGTTTCTGTGCCGTCACCCAGGAGATCTTCACAGGTCAGCGCCTGGCTAGGCGGAGTGGGGCTGGACCCTCGCCATCAGTCTAACCCAGCCGCTCTGTGTTCCAGGCACCGGCCCCTGGGAGGTGATGGGCAGGGGAGTGGGGCCGGCCCCCCGGCACAGAGCTAACCCAGCTGCTCTATGTTCCAGGTGCCGTGCCCTGGTACGGGGCGGAGGGTGCGGCTGTGCGGCAGTGGGTGCAGGCAGGGCGGGCTCTGGCCCCTGATGCCTGTGTGCCCCCACCCTGCTATGAGGTGGTGAGGGCTGGACTGGCCTTCCGGGAGCGGGAACGCTGTGGCTCGCTGCCTGACATTCGCTACGTCCTGCGCAAGGCCCTGCAGGTAATAGGGCCCTGGGGGGATCCCTCACCCTGCTCCGCCCGCCAGGATCTAACAGACCTGTCCATCCCCTTCCCAGAAGGCCACAGGGCGGCCAGGCGGCCCACTGTCCCTGTCTCCCAGGAGGCTGTGCGTATGGGCAGGAGAGGCTTGGACCCCCCTGGAGTGCCTCCCTGCAGCCCCTGCAGGTGAGAGCCATGGGGTGCGGGTGGGGTGGACAGGGTGTACTGACTCCAGGCCCTCACCCCCACCCTTCTGCTCCCCAGAACCACTCTACTATGAGGTAGGGGATGGCAGCCCAGAGCGGGCAGCAGCCGATGGCAACACAGACCGATGGGCTGAGGTAAGGGGGTGGGGTAGGAACCCGGGACAGCACCAGGTGCTGTTGGGGATCACAAGGGGGTGGGGCAGGGATCAGCAGGTTAGGATGAATGGGGTGTGCGCAGGGTCCAGGGATGGGGATGAGAATGGCTGGGTGGAAATCACAGGGTGGGCTCCAGCGCCCAGCTACCAGGGGTTGGTAAGTGCAGGGCGAAAGGGATGGGCACAAGCACCAGGGGCAGAGTGGGGGAATGAGGGGGTAAAGTCCAAGGAACAAGGTAAAGAGGTGGGGGATGGGGCGGGATTCACTCCCGCACCCCAGCCCCTTTCTCAGCAATGCCCCCTGCTTCCCCCCCAGCCGGGCAGGGGCAGCCCAATGCCCGGGCTGCAGGGCAAGGAGCAGCCCACCCCCCATGTGAGCCAGGCCAGGGAAGCCTCAGACAGCAGCTTGGAGGTGGACAGCAGCAGCCAGGAGGAGTCAAGGGGCTGGGAGAGTGGCAGCCCAGGCTCCAGCACCACGGTACGTGGGTCTGTGCCCCCTGCCCTGCTCACCCCACCTCTCCTGGTATCTAACCCGTCTGTGTCTGCGTCTCCCCGGCCTGCACCCCCGGCATCTCGCCCCGTCTGTGTCTGCGTCTCCCCGGCCTGCACCTCCGGCACCTCGCCCCGTCTGTGTCTGCGTCTCTCCGGCCTGCACCCCCGGCACCTCGCCCCGTCTGTGTCTGCGTCTCTCCGGCCTGCACCCCCGGCACCTCGCCCCGTCTGTGTCTGCGTCTCCCCGGCCTGCACCCCCGGCACCTCGCCCCGTCTGTGTCTGCGTCTCTCCGGCCTGCACCCCCGGCACCTCGCCCCGTCTGTGTCTGCGTCTCTCCGGCCTGCACCCCCGGCACCTCGCCCCGTCTGTGTCTGCGTCTCTCCGGCCTGCACCCCCGGCACCTCGCCCCGTCTGTGTCTGCGTCTCCCCGGCCTGCACCCCCGGCACCTCGCCCCGTCTGTGTCTGCGTCTCCCCGGCCTGCACCCCCGGCACCTCGCCCCGTCTGTGTCTGCGTCTCTCCGGCCTGCACCCCCGGCACCTCGCCCCGTCTGTGTCTGCGTCTCCCCGGCCTGCACCCCCGGCACCTCGCCCCGTCTGTGTCTGCGTCTCTCCGGCCTGCACCCCCGGCACCTCGCCCCGTCTGTGTCTGCGTCTCCCGGCCTGCACCCCCGGCACCTCGCCCCGTCTGTGTCTGCGTCTCTCCGGCCTGCACCCCCGGCACCTCGCCCCGTCTGTGTCTGCGTCTCCCCGGCCTGCACCCCCGGCACCTCGCCCCGTCTGTGTCTGCGTCTCCCCGGCCTGCACCCCGGCATCTCGCCCCGTCTGTGTCTGCGTCTCCCCGGCCTGCACCCCCGGCATCTCGCCCCGTCTGTGTCTGCGTCTCTCCGGCCTGCACCCCCGGCATCTCGCCCCGTCTGTGTCTCGTCTCCCCGGCCTGCACCCCCGGCACCTCGCCCCGTCTGTGTCTGCGTCTCTCCGGCCTGCACCCCCGGCACCTCGCCCCGTCTGTGTCTGCGTCTCCCCGGCCTGCACCCCCGGCACCTCGCCCCGTCTGTGTCTGCGTCTCCCCGGCCTGCACCCCCGGCACCTCGCCCCGTCTGTGTCTGCGTCTCTCCGGCCTGCACCCCCGGCACCTCGCCCCGTCTGTGTCTGCGTCTCTCCGGCCTGCACCCCGGCACCTCGCCCCGTCTGTGTCTGCGTCTCTCCGGCCTGCACCCCCGGCACCTCGCCCCGTCTGTGTCTGCGTCTCCCCGGCCTGCACCTCCGGCATCTCGCCCCGTCTGTGTCTGCGTCTCCCCGGCCTGCACCCCCGGCATCTCGCCCCGTCTGTGTCTGCGTCTCCCCGGCCTGCACCCCCGGCATCTCGCCCCGTCTGTGTCTGCGTCTCCCCGGCCTGCACCTCCGGCATCTCGCCCCGTCTGTGTCTGCGTCTCTCCGGCCTGCACCCCCGGCATCTCGCCCCGTCTGTGTCTGCGTCTCTCCGGCCTGCACCTCCGGCATCTCGCCCCGTCTGTGTCTGCGTCTCTCCGGCCTCACTCTCACTCCCCTCTGTTCTCGTCTCCCCCCTCACCCCCCACCTCGCCCCGTCTGTTCTCGTCTCTCCGGCCTGCACCCCCCACCTCCCCCGTCTGTGTCTGCGTCTCCCCGCCTGCACCTCCGGCACCTCGCCCCGTCTGTGTCTGCGTCTCTCCGGCCTGCACCCCCGGCATCTCGCCCCGTCTGTGTCTGCGTCTCTCCGGCCTGCACCCCCGGCATCTCGCCCCGTCTGTGTCTGCGTCTCCCCGGCCTGCACCCCCGGCATCTCGCCCCGTCTGTGTCTGCGTCTCCCCGGCCTGCACCCCCGGCATCTCGCCCCGTCTGTGTCTGCGTCTCTCCGGCCTGCACCCCCGGCATCTCGCCCCGTCTGTGTCTGCGTCTCTCCGGCCTGCACCTCCGGCATCTCGCCCCGTCTGTGTCTGCGTCTCTCCGGCCTGCACCTCCGGCATCTCGCCCCCGTCTGTGTCTGCGTCTCTCCGGCCTGCACCTCCGGCATCTCGCCCCGTCTGTGTCTGCGTCTCTCCGGCCTGCACCTCCGCATCTCGCCCCGTCTGTGTCTGCGTCTCTCCGGCCTGCACCTCCGCATCTCGCCCGTCTGTGTCTCGTCTCTCCGGCCTGCACCCCCGGCATCTCGCCCCGTCTGTGTCTGCGTCTCCCCGCCTGCACCCCCGGCATCTCGCCCCGTCTGTGTCTCGTCTCTCCGGCCTGCACCCCCGCATCTCCCCCGTCTGTTTCTCGTCTCTCCGGCCTGCACCCCCGCATCTCGCCCCCGTCTGTGTCTGCGTCTCTCCGGCCTGCACCCCCGGCACCTCGCCCCGTCTGTGTCTGCGTCTCTCCGGCCTGCACCCCCGGCACCTCGCCCCGTCTGTGTCTGCGTCTCTCCGGCCTGCACCCCCGGCATCTCGCCCCGTCTGTGTCTGCGTCTCTCCGGCCTGCACCCCCGGCATCTCGCCCCGTCTGTGTCTGCGTCTCTCCGGCCTGCACCCCCGGCATCTCGCCCCGTCTGTGTCTGCGTCTCTCCGGCCTGCACCCCCGGCATCTCGCCCCGTCTGTGTCTGCGTCTCTCCGGCCTGCACCCCCGGCATCTCGCCCCGTCTGTGTCTGCGTCTCTCCGGCCTGCACCCCCGGCATCTCGCCCCGTCTGTGTCTCTCTCTCCGGCCTGCACCCCCGCATCTCGCCCCGTCTGTGTCTCGTCTCCCGGCCTGCACCTCCGGCATCTCGCCCGTCTGTGTCTCGTCTCTCCGGCCTGCACCTCCGGCACCTCGCCCCGTCTGTGTCTCGTCTCCCCCCTCACCTCCGGCATCTCGCCCCGTCTGTGTCTCGTCTCTCCGGCCTGCACCTCCGGCACCTCGCCCCGTCTGTGTCTCGTCTCCCCCCTGCACCCCGCACCTCGCCCGTCTGTGTCTCGTCTCCCGCCTGCACCCCCCACCTCGCCCGTCTGTGTCTCGCTCTCCGCCTGCACCCCCGGCACCTCCCCCGTCTGTTCTCGTCTCTCCCCTCACCCCGGCACCTCGCCCCGTCTGTGTCTGCGTCTCCCTGGCCTGCACCCCCGCATCTCGCCCCGTCTGTGTCTCCTCCCTGCCTCACCCCCGCATCTCGCCCCGTCTGTGTCTCGTCTCCCTGGCCTCACCCCGCATCTCGCCCCGTCTGTGTCTCGCTCCCTGGCCTGCACCCCCGGCATCTCGCCCCGTCTGTGTCTGCGTCTCCCTGGCCTGCACCCCCGGCATCTCGCCCCGTCTGTGTCTGCGTCTCCCTGGCCTGCACCCCCGGCATCTCGCCCCGTCTGTGTCTGCGTCTCCCTGGCCTGCACCCCCGGCATCTCGCCCCGTCTGTGTCTGCGTCTCTCCGGCCTGCACCCCCGGCATCTAACCCCATCTCGGTCTGCGTCTGCATCTCCTACTCCTGGGGGAATATGCAGAAATGGGCAGCAGGGCTGCTAGCCATCACTAGGGGCTGCTGGACCTGACAGAGCTCCGCTCGCACCTAGAAGACACTGCTGGGGGGACGGGGAGGGAGCTAAAGGGGTCCTGGCAGCTGCAGTTCCCAGCATGCCCTGGGAGAAGAGGACGGCGCGCAGGAAACTCCGTGCAAGCCTGGGACGAAGCATCAGGCTGTTTCTCCCTCTGGATCCCTGGGCTCTGGGGGTTGATGTCTGGGCAAGGGGGGGCCCTGTGGCTGGACACTGGCGGGGAGGGATGTGGGTGTCTGGGCCGGAGGGCCCCAGCGGCTGAGCCCTGGGGGGGAAGGGGGTGCAGGTATCCGGGCAAGGGGGGCCCTGTGCCTGGGCTCTGGGGGGGAAAGGAGGCCTGTTCTATCGAGAGACGAGTGACTCACTTCATCACCATTATCATCACCTGGTGCTGAAGTCCTTGCATGATGGAGGAGGGCACTTTGGGGCAGACCGGACACTTGGGAGGGTAAATAGAAGGTTCTATTGGCCCAGATTAGCGAGGGTTATAGAGGAATAGTGGTAAGAACGGTGCCAGCTGTTGAGCTTGGAAGATGTTACCCAAACCATGTGCCCAGTTAACCTCCAAAGCAAGGGACCCCTGGATCTCGTGTGTTCCTCGACCCTGACAACGAAGGGAACACTAGCGTATTAGTGGTAACAGATCATTTCACTCAGTAAGCACAAGCAGTCCCCGTGACAGATCAGCACGCTCCCACTGTAGCCAAGATAATATTGGACAAACACTTTGTGCACTTCTGTTGGCCTTCCAGAGTTCACTCTGATCTGGGGTGTAACTTTGCAACTAAACTTATCAAGGAATTACTACAACTAATTGGGGCAAAGAAATCCCGGCCCTCACCATATCACAAGGGGACCCCAGCCAGAACGTTTCACTAGGGCGCTTTTGAACATGCTCGGGCCTCTCAGGTCAATAGAAAAGCAGAAATGGAGCCAACACGTTTCACAGCTAGACACACTTATAAGTGGGCCAGGAAGGATGCTCCTGGATTCTCCCCTCATTGTCTGACATTTGGGAGGGAAGCGAGACTACCTGTGGACATGTGTTTGGGAGTGACTCCGGATGGAGGGGTCCCTGATGCCTTCAATGTGTAAAGAAATTAAAGCAAGAACAGGAGGAACGCCTATTGACTGGCTATGGATGCAGCAGTGAAGACTGCAACACAGAATAAGACCTGATGTGACCGGTGCATAAGAGAGCGAGAACTATTCCCAAGTGACTGGGTTTTGATAAGGAACTCAGGAGTAAAATGGAAGAACAAGCCAGGAGACAGCTGGAAATCAGAACTCTATCAGGTTGTTCTGAAACTACCTGGGATTCCCATACATACGCTCCAGAGAGAAGAAGGAAGGAGAGATTTCACAACCCGTGACAATAGTAGTCACACTTGTTGACTATTGGGTAGTTGGTACGTTTCCTTGGAAGAGAGCCTGGGAGAGATATGGCCACTAACTCTGCTAGTAGCAATCTGGCGGTTTCACAGAACGAGGATGGTCTGGCTGTGACAGAACAGAGACATGAAGGGGAGAGTGTCTCTGGTGACGAATCTGATGATTGGGGTTTAACGACTTTTATCAACTACCCAGGGCCTAGAATCAGGCTACTCTGTGAGGCCCCACTACAGCCCCCAATGGCAGATATCGCTGCAGAGGGGGAAGTGATGCCCAAGGAAGGGGAGTGTCACGGGGTCCCCGGGCGATGGTCTGGAACTGCTCCCTACTAAGCCAGTCAGGACTCTGGGGAAGTCTCCTTTCTGTGAGCAGCCTGTCTGCAGTACACACAGCTAACCCGGCTTCCACCTTCCTGGGTCTGACTGCAGAGCATTCAGCATCCTCTGCCCCTCCGTGCGCTTCCCACAGCGAGTCCGCCCAGGCGGGGCTCCTGGGGAAGCCAGAGAGTCCTGCCCCCCAACTCCGCAGTCAGACAGGACTCTCAGCCAGCCAGTAAAACAGAAGGTTTATTAGACAACAGGAACATGGTCTAACACAGAGCTTGTAGGTGCAGAGAACAGGACCCCTCAGCTGGGGTCCATCTTGGAGCCAGGGAGGCCAGACCCCAGGTCTGGGCCTCCCTTGCTTTCCCCAGCCAGCTCCAAACTGAAACTCTCCAGCCTGGCGCGTGCTCTCTCTCTCGCGCGCGCCAGGAAGCCACCTGATCTCTTTGTTCTCCAACACCTTCCGTTGGCACCTTTGCAGAGGAGGGGTGTCACGGAGTCCCTGGGCGATGCTCTGGAACTGCTCCCCATAAAGCCAGTCAGGACTCTGGGGCAGTCGCCTTTTTGTGAGCAGCCTGTCTTCAGGACACGCAGCTCACACAGCTTCCACCTTCCTGGGTCTGACCTCGGAGCATTCAGCATCCTCTGCCCCTCCGTGCGCTTCCCACAGCGAGTCCGCTCAGGCGGGGCTCCTGGGGAAGCCAGAGGGTCCTGCACCCCAACTTCGCAGTCAGACGTGACTCTCAGCCAGCCAGTAAAACAGAAGGTTTATTAGACGACAGGAACATGGTCTAAAACAGAGCTTGCAGGTGCAGAGAACGGGACCCCTCAGCTGGGTCCATTTTGGGGGGCAGTGAGCCAGACAACCACGTCTGCACTTCACTCCATGTCCCAGCCAGCCCCAAACTGAAAACCCCCTCCAGCCCCTCCTCCTCTGGGCTTTGTTCCTTTCCCGGGCCAGGTGGTCACCTGATTCCTTTGTTCTCGGACCCTTCAGCTCTCACCTTGCAGGGGGGGAAGGGCCCAGGCCATCAGTGGCCAGGAAACAGGGTGTCAGCCATTCTCTGTGTCCAGACCCCTGCACACACCTGCCCTCTAGGGCTCTGCAATGATCATACACCCTTACCCCACCCCCTAGATACTTAAGAACTGCCTAGGGGAAACTGAGGCACCCCCACACTATTCAGAGGAAACATTAAGAACAGTCCCACTTCGTCACAAGGGGCCCAGGCCATCAGTGGCCAGGAGACAGGGTGTCGGTCAGTTTCTGTGCCAACATCATCACACTGACCCTCTAGGGCTCTACAACAATCACACCTCCTGATCTCACCACCTGGCTACTTAAGAAAGGCATGGGGGAAACTGAGGTACCCACACAGTGTTCAGAGAGAAAATTAAGAATAGTCCCACTTTGTCACAGGGAGGTACAAGCCAGTTGTAAGGCTTACCCATGACCTGCCTGGTACCTCAGCCAATAAACCTACCTCTGTGGTGCATAAAGCTGTGGGTGTTGGGGAAAACAAGCGTAAAGAGGCTTGATGTGTGTGTTAGTTACAAATGGTTGTAATGAAGTTGTGAGCTGGGGTGCTCTTACAACAGGAGAAAAGATGTTAACATTGAGGGGATAGCTAACTGGTAACGTTAAGGGGTAGGTAAAGCGTATTAACTGAGTTTGTCGGGACGTCAGATTTTACACCTGTATCCCCAGCATCTAACGCTGGCTGTGTTACCCATAGGAGCCGGCCCGGTCCCCAGCCCTGTCCTGTGTGAGTAGCCTCCAGGCCTCGGCCTGCCTGCTCGATCAAGCCCAAGCTTCGCTGGAAACCCTGGAGCGCCGCTTTGCCTCTGGCATCCAGGCCCTGCAGGACTTCGTCAGCCTCCAGGGGGCGCTCCCGGCCCGGCCCTGCTGCGGCAGGCGTGGGGCTGGCCAAGCAGGGGCCCCACAGGCATGCTGCAGCCTGGGGGCCCTGCAAGGGTCTGGCCGGCCACCCATGGCCCCAGCAGGTGAGTCACACTTCTCCCAGCCTCCCCCCACTAGAGCACAGCAGGTGGGTCTCCCCTGGCTGGGCTCCACCGAGCTTTGTGGATGGGGGTAGCAGGCAGCCCCCCTCCCGGAGCCCCAGCCATGCTGCTCTCGCTGCCAACTTTGGGATCCCGGGGTGCCTGGCTGACAGCACTAAGGAGCAGCACAGTGCCTGCCCAGCAGTGCTGGCCCCCCACCCCATGGCTATTAACCCTCCCCTGCCAGGCCTGCCCAGCACCCGCCCTCCCGCCATTCGGGGCCCCTCCTCCCCCCCGGACTCCTGCAGCCCCCACGGGCCAGGGCAGAGTCCCACACTGACCGGCTCCCTCCTCCTCAGGTGAGCTCAGCGGGGCCAGTGTGGGGCCCGAGGGTCGTCCCCTGCAGACCCTCATCGATTTCTCTGCCTGGGTACGAATGCAGGAGCAGCAGCAGGTAAGGGAGAGAGGAGAGGGGCACCCCCACAACCCCCCCCCCCCCGGTCTGCCACCATCACAGACTCCCCCCCCTTGTCTGTCTGCAGGGCCTGGGATGCTCCAAGCCAGCCCATGAACCCGCCCCGGACAGCTCCTTTGGCACCCTGCAGTCGTGAGTGGCCAGGGAGCCCTGCATTGGGTGGGAAGCAGAGGCCAGCACTCCCCTCAGCATTTTACCCAGCAGCCTCTGCTGCAGTCCCCCAAGGAGAACCACCCTAGAGCACACGTTATGGGGAGCAGCACCCTATTGGATGCACATGCTTGACCCTGGCTCAGGTCCACGTTTTACCCAGCAGCCCCAGCTGCAGGCTGAGGCATGGGGGTAGCAGGGAGGTGAGGGGTGCTGGGGCTGGAGAGTGGGTGTAACGTGAGGGGAGGGGGGGTGGCTTGAGAGAGCCGGCCACTACTTGCTGCAGCAGCTGTGGGGAACACCCTGTGTGGGGGGCTGGACCACTCCTACCTCCCTGCTAACCCGCCCCTACTCCCCAGGCTGGACCTGCTGCAGGAGATCATCGACGAGCTGAAGGGCACGGGAGATGCCAGGGCCAGGCGGCCGGCGGGCAGGGAGCAGAGCAGGTAGGGACACTGCCCCTCTCACCCAGCAAGGGGACCTTCCCCCTGCCCTGCCACCCTCCACTAACCCCAGCTCCCCCGTCTAGGGCAGCACGGCAGAAGAGGACGGCTTGGCCCCACGCAGCAGCTGAGAGTGGCACCGTGCCCCTGCACCAGGACAGCTGGGGTGCAGGAGGAAGGGGGCTTGGGCCTCCCTCTAAGAGATAGATGGCCAAGATCTGCCACCCCCTCGTTCACTAATAAATAGCCTGGCCAGAGCCGGGGGCTGTGTGCAATGAGAGGGCACCCCCCCACACCCCCAGCATCTAGCCAGAGCCCCCGGCCAAGGACTCCCAGCCAGAGACACATCCCCACCCTCCCATCCCCCACACAGCTGGATGCTGGGGGCCAGCCCCAGCCCAGGGCTCCTGCTTCTTCCGTTTATTGTAAAACCAAGGAGGATGCAGGGACATTGCAGCTGGGGGGGGCCCCCCCAGTCAGTAACAGGAGAGCTGCAGAGAGGGTCTCCTACCCCAGCCCCCCAAGACAGGTGCCAATCATCCCCACCACATCCTCATCCCCACTGATGGGAACCTCGGGCCGACTCCTCCCTTTCCCAGGCCCTGGGGCTGACGGGAGACTCAGGCCGGCCCCTGCTTTCATAGCTCAGCGCCAGACACCTCCCACCCCTGCACAGTACGAGTTACACTATTGACAGAGCCCCCCTGCCTGCCCTGCCCTGCCCTGCCAGCACCTGCTCCCCAGCCCCCCGGCTTGCAGTCTGGGCTGGCCCCCTGGCATGGCTGGCTCAGCTGGGGGGCTGACTTTGCACAGGCCCGGCGCCCGCCCCACCAGCTGCAGCAGGCGCTGGGTGAGATAGAGGCTGGCAGGGCGGCGCGACAGCAGCTGCAGGAGTGGGTCTGGGCACAGCGAGACCGACAGCACCTGCAGAGGGGGGCAGGGAAGGAGAGAGGGGCTGTCAGGGGCTGGAGCTGGGTGGTTCTGCCACACCCCCAGGCACTCACCTCCCCACCTGTGACCCCATCACAGCCACACCCCAAGGCGGGACCCCTCCCCCCCAGGGCAGGCTGTCCCCCGGCTGACCTTGCCGCTGCGGCACACCCCCACGAGGCCATGCCGGGGGGGGTCGGGCACCGTGGCGAAGACGATGTCCCAGGCCAGCTGGACGCGGTGCAGGGGCTGGGCGGTCTCCACGTCGGCCAGGAAGAGCAGGGCGTGCTTGGTGAGCACCAGTGCCAGGCCCAGCTGCGGGGCAAACTGCGGGGAGGGGAGGGGAGGGCCTGGGGTCACGCACGCGCAGAGAGCCCCACACTGCTGGCAGGCACCCCCAGCAACCCTCCTACCCCCAGAGAGCCTCCCTTCCCTCCCAGGGACCCACCCCACACCCTGCTCACCTGCACGGCGCTGGGGAAGTCCCCGGGCTGGGCACCCTTGAAGGCCAGGCTGGATCGGGCACTGAGCAGGGCAGCATTCCCTGGCTGGTGGGGGCCCAGCTCCACCACGTGGAACTGAGAGAGAGCGGGGGGGGGGGGGGTCAGACGGATGCAGCCCTTCCCCAGACCCCGTCTGTCACCGGCCTTCCCCCGCCCGCCCCACCTTTCTACTCCCGCCCACCCCAGGCACCACCCACACCCTCCAGGAGCCAGCCCCACCTTTCCACTCCCGCCCTCCCCAGGCACCACCCACACCCTCCAGGAGCCAGCCCCACCTTTCCACTCCCCAGGCACCACCCACACCTTCCAGGAGCCAGCCCCCACCTGCCCCACCTTTCCACTCCCGCCCTCCCCAGGCACCACCCACACCCTCCGGGAGCCAGCCCCCGCCTGCCCCACCTTTCCACTCCTGCCCACCCCAGGCACCACCCACACCCTCCGGGAGCCAGGCCCCACCTGCCCCACCTTTCCACTCCCGCCCACCCCAGGCACCACCCACACCCTCCGGGAGCCAGCCCCCGCCTGCCCCACCTTTCCACTCCCGCCCACCCAGGCACCACCCACACCCTCCGGGAGCCAGCCCCCGCCTGCCCCACCTTTCCACTCCCGCCCACCCCAGGCACCACCCACACCCTCCGGGAGCCAGCCCCACCTTTCCACTCCCGCCCACCCCAGGCACCACCCACACCCTCCGGGAGCCCCGGCCTGCCACGCACCTGCCCGTTGCGCTCTGTGCCGTGCCGGACGGCAGCCAGCAGGGCGGAGGAGGGGTGGGGGTTCCTGGAGAAGCTGTGCCGGGGCAGCCCCACCGCCTGGGCCTCGATGACCTGGGAGAGCCGCCCCCCCCGCCAGTGCAGCTGGGTCAGCCCCACCACCTGGCCCTTCTGGGGAGAGACGCGGGGTCAGCCAGGCAGAGGGGCCACGGGGATCCTGGGGGCGGCAGGCGAGGGGAGGCCCTTACCTGGTCAAGGCCCAGGGTGGACAGCGCCAGCCAGAGCCCGCTGGCGTCCCGCCGGTAGCCCACCACCTCCGTGTGCCGCAGCTGCTCATGGCGCCGGAACTGGTGCCGCGGCTTCGGGCCTGCCGGCCCAGGGGGGTAGAGGCTCCAGTTAGGAGCTGAGAGAGCCCTCCGCCCACCCCTACAGCCCTTCCCCCGCCCGACCCCCCCACACCGACCGGCCCCCCTTCCCACTGCACCCCCCGTGCCAACCAGCCCACACCAACCAGCTCCCCCTTCCCACGGCACCCCCCGTCCAACCCCCCCCACGCCGACCAGCTCCCCCTTCCCATGGCACCCCCCATCCAACCCCCCCCCACGCCGACCAGCTCCCCCTTCCCGTGGCAAGCCCGTGCCAACCAGCCCCCCCTTCCCACAGCACCCCCTGTGCCAACCCCCCGCGCCCACCAGCCCCCCCTTCCCGTGGCACCCCCTGCCTGCCCCCCCAACCATGCCAACCAGCCCCCCCCCCACAAGACCCCCAGGCTAGCCCCCCCATTGACCAGCCCACCCTCCTCCCAGGGCGCCCGGCAGCTCCCCAGCGGGGGGTGCCCGGCAGCGTGCTCACGGCTGAGGGCCCAGTGGAACACCTCCTCCTCCGTCACCAGCGCCAGCGTCTCGGGCTCCAGCCACGCCCAGAACTCCAGGGGGTGGGCAAACGTCCACTGCCAGCGCAGGCAGCGCTGTGCCACGTCGAACACCTGTGCCACACAGCCCGCTGGGGGCCCAGGCGGGTCAGAGCCCCGGGGCCGAGACGGGGCAGAGCCCCGGGGCCGAGCCCCACGCGGGTCAATTGAGCCAGGGGGGAGGTGAGGTGAGGACCCCCATTGTTGTGCAGTGAGGACATGGGGCTGAGGGTCAGGCCAGGACCTCCATGGGGAGCGGATGCCATTACCAGTCAGCCCGGAACACCCCTCCCTCCCTCTTCCCTGGCCTGGGGGTCTGGCCCCACTGCCCCCTCGAGACCTCCTGTACCTCGTAGGGCCAGCAGGGGCTGGCTGGGGTGGGCCAGGGCGCCCTGGGCCTGGTGCAGGGGCCAGCTGCGGGTGGCTGGGCCGTGGGGCTCACGTAGGTCGAGCAGGGTGACCCGGGCCCCGGCGGGGTCTTGCGGGGGGCTATGCCGGACGCAGAGACGCCAGGGTGCGGAGAGAGTGACGCGAGGGTAGGTGATCTGCTCCGCGGGGATGCCGTGGTGCTGCAGCTGGGGGGAAGAGAGGGGTTAGAGGGGCACCAGCACCTAGGGTCACCCCCATAGAGGTCACCCACCCACAGTCCAGAGCCTTTCTGCCCCAGACACAGCTGTGCATCCTCAGGGGTCCCCCAGCCCAGGGGTCACCCCTTCTCCAGACACTCTTCCCTCAGGGATCACCACTTCCTTCCCCAGCACAGGTCACCCCCCAAAGCCCTCCCCTTACCTGGGTCAGCACCTCCACCCGCACAGGGGACTCGCCCATGGCTGAGGGGGCAGGTCAGCCCAGGGCCAGGGAGAGGAGGGACCCGCCTGGCTGGGGCAGCAGTGCAGAGAGCTCACCCAGGGGGGCCCTAGGCACCCAGCAGAGCAGAGCAAGATACCCTGCACCCCAGGGAAACCCCCTCCCCTGCTTCCTAGCTCCCTGCTTGGCCTCCACAGGGGACTGATATAGCCCCTCCCCCGGCACTGCCCAGCCACACCCTGCTGCAATCAGCGCTAACGAGCGGGTGGAGCCCACCCTCTGACAACATCACAGAGAGCCGCTTGGGACCCAGGAGTCCCGGCTCCCAGGCCCCCTGCTCTAGCCCACCAGGCCCCGGCCCAGGAAAGAACCCAGGAGTCCTGGGTCACAGACCTGCACGGGAGTTCCCAGCACTTCCCCCCACTTCTCTCCAGGACTCACAGTGGGAGACACACGGTGTATGGGGGGCCCCCACTGTCCTACGTGCTACCTGCTTCTGCAGGGTCCCAGCCTCCGTGCTCTGCGTTGGGGAGCAGGGCCAGCGGGTGTGAGAGCACCGGGGATCGGGGCCTGAATCTGAGCCAGCAGCCCGGCCCGGGCCCTGGTGTGAACTGACCCTTCAGCCCAAGGGCCTTAACTCCGCCACAGGGCATTGGATCCCACTGCTCACGTCACTGGGGATGGAGCGAGATCGGGGGCCCCCTCGGGCCGGGCGCGGCGCGGACCCCCGGGGAGCGAGACCGGGGGCCCCCTCGGGCCGGGCGCGGCGCGGACCCCCGGGGAGCGAGACCGGGGGCCCCCTCGGGCCGGGCGCGGCGCGGATCCCCGGGGAGCGAGATCGGGGGCCCCCTCGGGCCGGGCGCGGGGCGGACCCCCGGGGAGCGAGATCGGGGGCCCCGTCGGGCCGGGCGCGGCGCGGACCCCCGGGGAGCGAGACCGGGGGCCCCCTCGGGCCGGGTGCGGCGCGGACCCCCGGGGAGCGAGACCGGGGGCCCCCTCGGGCCGGGTGCGGCGCGGACCCCCGGGGAGCGAGATCGGGCTGGCAGGGGGCTGCGGGTACGTCCATCTGTCAGGGAGTCCCCGGGCGATGCTCTGGAACTGCTCCCCATGAAGCCAGTCAGGACTCTGGGGCAGTCGCCTTTCTGTGAGCAGCCTGTCTTCAGGACACACAGCTCACCCAGCTTCCACCTTCCTGGGTCTACCTCGAGCATTCAGCATCCTCTGCCCCTCCGTGCCTTCCCCCAGCGAGTCCGCTCAGGCGGGGCTCCTGGGGAAGCCAGAGGGTCCTGCACCCCAACTTCGCAGTCAGACGTGACTCTCAGCCAGCCAGTAAAACAGAAGGTTTATTAGACTACAGGAACATGGTCTAAAACAGAGCTTGCAGGTGCAGAGAACGGGACCCCTCAGCTGGGTCCATTTTGGGGGGCAGTGAGCCAGACAACCACGTCTGCACTTCACTCCATGTCCCAGCCAGCCCCCAACTGAAACCCCCTCCAGCCCCTCCTCCTCTGGGCTTTGTTCCTTTCCCGGGCCAGGTGGTCACCTGATTCCTTTTTCTCCAACCCTTTAGCTCTCACCTTGCAGGGGGAAGGGCCCAGGCCATCAGTTGCCAGGAAACAGGGTGTCGGCCATTCTCTGTGTCCAGACTCCTGCACACCTGCCCTCTAGGGCTCTGCATGATCATACACCCTTACCCCACCCCCTAGATACTTAAGAACTCCTAGGGGAAACTGAGGCACCCCCACACTATTCAGAGGAAACATTAAGAACAGTCCCACTTCTCACATCTCTCCCCCTTCGAGATCGAACTGAGCGGGGTCACTTTAGCCGGTGACCTGGGAAGTTCGAAGCCACCAACGTTCCCATGGATGCCCCACATCTCTCCCATTCCTTGGTAGGAGTTACACCAGGCCCTTCCATTTTCACACCCTCCCTTAGGTCAGGGGTGGTCGATGCACTCGCAGGCCCATTGGGAAGGCTTATGCAGCCCATGCCCTTTGGCCACCCCAAGAATGTCTCCCCATTGACCATCACCTTCTGCTCCCACTGGAGGTCCGAGGGGCCTGGCCCCAGGAAACTCCACACAGACATATAGGTTGGGGTCAGGAGTGGGAGCCTGTCCACATCCCCAACCATCTGGCTGACAGTCTATGGCCTTGGGACCCAGCAAGGGAGCTAGACACCGGGGCTTTTCCGCAGGGTCCCCCTAGTTCAAATCTCCAGCCTGCTCAAAGGCAGTGAGGTGGGCATCCACACCCCCCCCATCCTTAACCAGGGGCAGCAATTTAGTCTCGAGGTTCCCTGCGGAACTGGCCCCCCGGGATCTATCCCCACTCACCCCTGGGAGGTCCCCTAGGCCTCTCCGCTCCCCCACCGCCAGTTCATCCTGCTGCTGCTTCTGCAGCTCTTTCTCGGGCTCTCGCTGTCTCTCACAGTCCTCTTGCTCTCTCAGACTCAGCTCCAATCCCGTCCGTCTCGATCCCCCGATGGGGAACCCGATCGTGAAGACCCCCGTCTGGTCGGGGACAGGAGTCTTGGCGATGCCTGGCTCCCACTCCAGCTGCTCCCAGATCCTGCTATGCCCCAGTTGGGGTCAGGAATCTGTTCCTTAGAGCGGTCATCCTCCTCCACTGCAGATTAACTCTGCTTTGGTGAACTTTCCAATGCTCAACCCTCTCTTTTTGCACAGGGTTACAATGTCCTTCTTAAGGAGACAGTGACAGGCCATCACTCCGCTCCTCCCAAGTTGTTGTGGACTCACAGGTCCGTGTGTTCTCAGCTCCCCACGGTTTCCAGGGAGAACCCCTAGTGTGCCAGCCCTTCTCGAGGTTACCACCTCTTTGCCAGGGTCGAGCTGCAGACTCCTCCGCCCCTGAGACTGCTCACTGCAGTCCCCAGGGGACCCCATTACTGCACAGTCCTTCTGCTGGTCACACACTCCCAGGGGTTAACCGCCCCCAAACCGCTCCTTTCTGAGCCTTCAGCAGGCCTGGTCCTCGGCAATCCCCTTCGTGTTACTGCTCCCCAGTCACTTACTGCAGAAGCGCCATCCACGGGGTGCAGTACATCCCACCCTGCCACCAGTTGTCAGGGAGTCCCGGGCGTGCTCTGGAACTGCTCCCCATGAAGCCAGTCAGGACTCTGGGGCAGTCGCCTTTCTGTGAGCAGCCTGTCTTCAGGACACACAGCTCACCCAGCTTCCACCTTCCTGGGTCTGACCTCGGAGCATTCAGCATCCTCTGCCCCTCCGTGCGCTTCCCCCAGCGAGTCCCTCAGGCGGGGCTCCTGGGGAAGCCAGAGGGTCCTGCACCCCAACTTCCAGTCAGACGTGACTCTCAGCCAGCCAGTAAAACAGAAGGTTTATTAGACGACAGGAACATGGTCTAAAACAGAGCTTGCAGGTGCAGAGAACGGGACCCCTCAGCTGGGTCCATTTTGGGGGGCAGTGAGCCAGACAACCAGGTCTGCACTTCCTCCATGTCCCAGCCAGCCCCCAACTGAAACCCCCTCCAGCCCCTCCTCCTCTGGGCTTTGTTCCTTTCCCGGGCCAGGTGGTCACCTGATTCCTTTGTTCTCCAACCCTTTAGCTCTCACCTTGCAGGGGGGAAGGGCCCAGGCCATCAGTTGCCAGGAAACAGGGTGTCGGCCATTCTCTGTGTCCAGACTCCTGCACACACCTGCCCTCTAGGGCTCTGCAATGATCATACACCCTTACCCCACCCCCTAGATACTTAAGAACTGCCTAGGGGAAACTGAGGCACCCCCACACTATTCAGAGGAAACATTAAGAACAGTCCCACTTCGTCACACCATCTTCCTGCAGTGCCACAGATACACGGACCCTCCCACCGCCCCGATCTCAGCCTTCCAGCCCCCTCAGCCCCAGGCCACCCAGGTGCGGGGAGCAATCCCAGGGCGTCGGGGGGATTATCCAGCTCGGCTGCTCGTTTCATTTAACGATATTTCCGGATTAAAAGCTCCCAGGGTTGGAGCTGAAGCTGCAATTTAATCTCACCCTCTAATGACAGACAGCTTCGCCTGGGGAGGACAGGGGGACGGGACCCCCATGCCGGTGCCCCTCCCTCCCGACCCGCAGCCCCTGCTAGCCCAGTCTTGCCCCCCAGCCCTGCCGGTGCCCCTCCCTCCCGACCCGCAGCCCCTGCCAGCCCAGCCCTGCCCCCCAGCCCTGCCGGTGCCCCTCCCTCCCGACCCGCAGCCCCTGCCAGCCCAGCCCTGCCCCCCAGCCCTGCCGGTGCCCCTCACTCCCGACCCGCAGCCCCCTGCCAGCCCAGCCCTGCCCCCCAGCCCTGCCGGTGCCCCTCCCTCCCGACCCCCAGCTCCTGCTAGCCCAGCCCTGCCCCCCCAGCTCTGCCGGTGCCCCTCCCTCCCGACCCGCAGCCCCCTGCCAGCCCAGCCCTGCCCCCCAGCCCTGCCGGTGCCCCTCCCTCCCGACCCCCAGCTCCTGCCAGCCCAGCCCTGCCCCCCAGCCCTGCCGGTGCCCCTCCCTCCCGACCCGCAGCCCCTGCCAGCCCAGCCCTGCCCCCCCAGCTACCCACGCTAAGCCGGTTATTCCCATCCATATGTTGTCCCCACGGGCTGTGATTATCGTCTCTAAGCCCTTCGCCCTGCGCTCTGGCTGGCCCCCCCGGGTCCCGCTGCCGGGTTGTAAGCGTGATCCCCTGGCCAAGAAAGCCTCCCTCGGGTGCCTGGGTTCAACGCACGGCTTTTATTGTACACAAGGGCTGCGTGTCTGTGATGGAAGGGCCTGGGGAGGAGAGCTGGGGGGATGGTGGGATCCAGAGAGCCGTGGGGCAGAGGAGAGGGACAGGAAGGGAAGGGCCATGGGGAGTGCAGGGGGAGGTGTGCGAGCGATGGGGGGGGCTGGAGGTCTGGGGGGACATGGTGTGGGGGAAGGCATGGGAGGGTCGGGGGATAGTTGGTAGGGACGGTGGGGGGGACTGGAGGCAGTGATTTGGGGGTCACTCGTAGTGGTGTCTCGACAGCCAGTTGGGGCTCGACCCCCCCCCAAGGTCAGTCTCTGATCTCGGGGCGGCTCAGTCCCCTCAGCGTGACATCATCTTCACGAACTCTGCAGGGGAAAGACCCCATTAGTACTGATGCCTGGGGTGGGGGATCCCAGCCCCACGGAGCCGCCCCCCAGGGGATCCCAGCCCCCAGGAAGACCTGCGCCACTCACGCCAAGTCACACACAGTTTACCCACAGTCCCCTCTTAGAGCTGGCAGGCCATGACCCTCCAACGCCAGCCCACATCCCTGCCAGGGCCATGGGGCCTGACCCGCGCCGGCCACGTGGGCTCTGGCCGGGCAGCACATTACCCACAGTCCCTTGCCAGGCGCCCCAGCCCACAGGGTGTAGGATACGGCCCTGTCCCTTCAGCCCCCATGGGGGACGGCTCAGGTCCCAGCCAGGGGGGCAGATTACCCACAATCCCCCCGGGCGCCCCACGCACCCTCGAAGTCGACGGTCCCGTCCCCGTTGATGTCGGCCTCCTTGACCACGTCGCTGATCTCGCGCAGGGTGAGCTGCTCGCCCATGAGACGCTGCATGGCCAGCTGCAGCTCGTCCAGCGTGATCTCCCCGTCCCCGTTGGTGTCAAACTGCGGGGGGCGGGGGGGAGCAGCCGTCAGGACTCCTGGGTCCTATCCCTGGCTCAGGTGGGTGGGGGGCTGGTGGGTTAGAGCGGGGTGGGGGCTGGAAGTCAGGATGCCTGGGTTCTATACCAGCTCTGGGAGGAGGGTTAGAGCTGGGGGCTGGGAGCCCAGACGCCTGGGTTCTCGCTTGGCCCTGGGAGGGGAGTTAGAGCCAGGGGCTGGGAGCCCGGACGCCTGGGTTCTCTCCTGGCCCTGGGAGGGTGTGATGAAGTGGGACTGTTCTTAATGTTTCCTCTGAATAGTGTGGGGGTGCCTCAGTTTCCCCTAGGCAGTTCTTAAGTCTCTAGGGGGTGGGGTAAGGGTGTATGATCGTTGCAGAGCCCTAGAGGGCAGGTGTGTGCAGGGGTCTGGACACAGAGAATGGCCGACACCCTGTTTCCTGGCCACTGATGGCCTGGGCCCTTCCCCCCTGCAAGGTGAGAGCTGAAGGGTTGGAGAACAAAGGAATCCGGTGACCTCCTGGCCCGGGAAAGGGACAAAGCCCAGAGGAGGGGGGGCTGGAGGGAGTTTCAGTTGGGGGCTGGCTGGGGACAAGGAGTGAAGGGCAGACGTGGTTGTCTGGCTCACTGCCCCCCAGAATGGACCCAGCTGAGGGGTCCGGTCTCTGCACCTACAAGCTCTGTGTTAGACCATGTTCCTGTCGTCTAATAAACCTTCTGTTTTACTGGCTGGCTGAGAGTCACGTCTGACTGCGAAGTCGGGGGGCAGGACCCTCTGGCTTCCCCAGGAGCCCCGCCTGAGCGAACTCGCTGTGGGAAGCGCACGGAGGGGCAGAGGAGGCTGAATGCTCTGAGGTCAGACCCAGGAAGGTGGAAACCGGGTGAGCTGTGTGTCCTGCAGACAGGCTGCTCCCAGAAAGGAGACTTTCCCAGAGTCCTGACCGGCTCCGGAGGGAGCAGGTCCAGAGCATCGCCCAGGGACTCCATGACAGAGGGGGGTTAGAGCCAGGGGCTGGGAGCCCGGACGCCTGGGTTCTCTCCTGGCCCTGGGAGGGGGCTTAGAGCTGGGGGCTGGGAGCCCGGGCACCTGGGTTCTCTCTCCCTCACCTCCTTGAAGGCGTCCCTCATCTCCTGCAGCCCAATCATCCCAGCAGTCTCGGCCAGCAGCTTGGGTGTCATCAGCTCCACAAAGTCTTCGAAATCCACCCGGCCCCCCACTGCAACAGGAGGCTGGTGTCAGACGGGGGTCCCCTGCTCGGAGCCCTGCCCCCTCCCAGGCACCCCCCTGCTCGGAGCCCCATCCCCTAGGCACCCCCCTTCTCGGAGCCCCGCCCCCATCCCCTAGGCACCCCCCTGCTCGGAGCCCCGCCCCCATCCCCTAGGCAGCCCCCTGGCTCACGGTTCATGTTGATCTGCTGGGAGAGCTCGATGAGCTCCATCTCGGTGGGCATGTAGCCCATGGAGCGCATCAGGGTGCCCAGGTCCTTGCAGCCGATCAGCCCGTCCTTGTCCTTGTCGAACTCCGCGAAGGCCTCGCGCAGCTCTGCCGAGGGAACCCACCGGGCTGAGCCCCCTACATGGGGGGGACCCTGCCATCCTGAGCCCCCCCTGCTGTGCTGAGCCCCCTCCGTGGGGGGGAACCCGCCACCCTGAGCCCCCGGGGGGGAACCTGCCAGGCTGAGCCCCCCCGCTGGGCTGAGCCCCCTCCATGGGGGGGAACCCGCCACCCTGAGCACTGTGCTGAGCCCCCTCTGTGGGGGGGAACCCACTGTCCTGAGCCCCCTCCATTGGGGGGAACCTGCAGTGCTGAGTCCCCCCTGCCATGCTGAGCCTGCTCCGTGGGGGGGAACCCGCCGCCCTGAGCCCCTGGGGGGGAGAACCCAGGAGTGCTGCCCACTCCCCACCGCAGCCCAGGACCCAGGAGACCTGGGATTCCTGCAGCACCTGTGTTCCTCTGGGGTTGGGGCTAGTACGGGGGGCTCCTGCGTCCTGGCACCTGTGTACCGACCTACTAGACCCCTCTCCCCTTTGCGCTGCAATGAGAACCCAGGCGTTCGGGCTCACAGCCCCACCCCTCCTTCCCTGCTTTAATCACTAGATCCCACTCCCCTCCCATGGGCGTCTTACCTTCAATTTCGTCTGCTCCCAGCTCCCGGTGCTGGAATAAAGAGACACACTCAGGGACCCAGCCCGGTCCTGCTGGGGAGAGAACTCAGGTGTCCGGACTCTCGGCCTCCTCCCCCAGCTCTAACCCACCAGGCCCCACTCCCCTCCCAGAGCCGGGGAAAGAACCCAGGAGTCCTGGCTCCCCATCTCCCAGATCTAACCCACCAGCCCCCCATTCCCCTCGCAGAGCCAGGGAGAGAACCCAGGTGTCCTGGCTCCCAGCACCCACCCAGCTCTAACCCACCAGCCCCCACTCCCCTCCCAGAGCTGGGGAGAGAACCCAGGCGTCCTGGCTCCCAGCCCCCCTGCTCCCCTCACAGAGAACCAGGTGTCTGACCCCATGCTTCTCGGCGATGCCCTTGCGCAGGAAGATGCAGGCGGGCCCCAGGGCGTTCTGCATGGTGCCGGCTGCCGCCCCGGAGCCGGAGCCGTGGCTAGAGGAGGGGGCGGCTGTGCCAGGCTGGGGTGGGGGTTTATGGTTGCTCCCACGTCAGGGGATTATCCTCACCCCCACGACCTATCACCATCCCAACCAGGACAGCTGCTGAATAAATCCGCCCTGCCAACATCTGCTAGCTGGCACAAGGGCTGGGAGCCCGGGCTCCTGGGTTCACTCCCGGCTCTGGGAGGGGAGTGGGGTCTGGGGGGAGGGATAGCTCAGTGGTTTGAGCATTGGCCTGCTAAACCCAGGGTTGAGAGTTCAATCCTTGAGGGGGCCATTTAGGGATCTGGGGCAAAAATTGGGGATTGGTCCTGCTTTGAGCAGGGGGTTGGACTAGATGACCTCCTGAGGTCCCTTCCAACCCTGATATTCTATGGTGGTTAGAGCAGGGAGGGCTGAGAGCCAGGACTCCTGGGTTCGCTCCCAGCCCTCAAGGACTTGGTGGGGTGGAGAGGAGTGGCGTTAGGAGTGTAATATAATATCACACTGAAAGGTGACAGGGCCAGAAAAAGTTAATTAACTCCCAGACTGACCTGACCCCTGGCCGAACTTTAGAGACTGGTGTCACGGAGTCCCTGGGCGATGCTCTGGAACTGCTCCCCATGAAGCCAGTCAGGACTCTGGGGCAGTCGCCTTTCTGTGAGCAGCCTGTCTTCAGGACACACAGCTCACCCAGCTTCCACCTTCCTGGGTCTGACCTCGGAGCATTCAGCATCCTCTGCCCCTCCGTGCGCTTCCCCCCAGCGAGTCCGCTCAGGCGGGGCTCCTGGGGAAGCCAGAGGGTCCTGCACCCCAACTTCGCAGTCAGACGTGACTCTCAGCCAGCCAGTAAAACAGAAGGTTTATTAGACGACAGGAACATGGTCTAACACAGAGCTTGTAGGTGCAGAGAACGGGACCCCTCAGCTGGGTCCATTTTGGGGGGTAGTGAGCCAGACAACCAGGTCTGCACTTCACTCCATGTCCCAGCCAGCCCCAAACTGAAACTCCCTCCAGCCCCTCCTCCTCTGGGCTTTGTTCCTTTCCCGGGCCAGGTGGTCACCTGATTCCTTTGTTCTCGGACCCTTCAGCTCTCACCTTGCAGGGGGGGAAGGGCTCAGGCCATCAGTTGCCAGGAAACAGGGTGTCGGCCATTCTCTGTGTCCAGACTCCTGCACACACATGCCCTCTAGAGCTCTGCAATGATCATACACCCTTACTCCACCCCCTAGATACTTAAGAACTGCCTGGGGGAAACTGAGGCACCCCCACACTATTCAGAGGAAACATTAAGAACAGTCCCACTTCGTCACAACTGGTTAGGAAGAGATGGCAATGGAGAGAGCTGTGAAATGCAGCCGGCCTTGTGAGAGAGAGAAGGGGGCTGTGTGCTCAGGCCTTGTGGTGTCAGCAAACGAGTCTTGTCTATTACCACGGCTTTGATTCATTGAGGAGGACGCTGGAGTAACCCGATGTGAGGCAGCAGGGAGGGGGGAGTGTTGACCTGGGACTGTGCCCTGGGGAGGGGAGACCTGAGAGCCTGTCCCCTGAGCCGGGAGGGGGAGGTGACACCTCTGCCCGGGAATGTGAACAGAGGCTGCAGGAGGGGGCCTGCTGGGGGGGTTTAGTTTCAGTTTGGGGCTGGGTGGAGGAACGCAGGGAACCCCAGGGCTGGGGTCTGAGCTCCCTGCTCCCCCAGAAGGACTTGACTGAGGGGTCCTGGGGGTACGCACAAGCTCTGTTTTGGACTGTGTTCCTGTGGTGCAATAAACCTTCTGTTTTACTGGCTGGCTGAGAGTCTCAGGGAATCCCAGGAAGAGGGGTGCAGGGCCTGGACTCCCCCACACTCCGTGACACCCGGGTCATTGTCTGGTCCCTGGGAGGGTTGTGGTGGCCTGTGTCCAGACTGGTGATGGGTAAGTGGCCCTGGGCTAATTGCCAGCCTGTTTGGGAGAAGGGAAGTCAAGCCGGGTGTTTCCTCAGGCCTCGAGGCTGCTGGAAATGTCTCCGGACCCTGGGACACGATCCTTCCTCAGCGCAGGTCTGCCTTGGGGCTCAGGAGGGGAGACCCTGAGCCGTAAGGATTGAGACCCCCAGCCGCTGACTGGAGTCGCCCTGAACGTGGACATTGGGCTGTAACCTCTGGACTGTTTCCAAACGGACTGCTCCAGGCTCGTCTCTGCTGGACCTCAAGAATTGAACTCAAGCCTGTCTGGGTATCGATCTTTTCTTTTTTAATAAATGTTAGTTTAGTTAGTAAGAATTTGGGGTAAGATCTAAGTTATCATTGGACCTGGGTGTGTGGCTGATCCTTTGGGATTGGGAGGACCTTCTCTTTTATATGATGAGAGAAGATTTTCTGTAATCGTCATCACATCCGACAGGTTTCCGAGGGGCAGCTGTGTTAGTCTGTATCAGCAAAAACAACGAGGCGTCCTTGTGGCACCTTGGAGACTAACGCATTTATTTGGGCATAAGCTTTCGTGGGCTAGAACCCACTTCATCGGATGCACGGAGTGAAAATACAGGAGCAGGTATAAATACACGATGGGGGTTGCTTTACCAAGTGGGAGGTCAGTCTAATGAGATAAATCAATTAACAGCAGGATTCCATGGGAGGAAAAATCACTTTTGAAGTGGTAAGAGAGTGGCCCATTACAGCCAGTTGACAAGAAGGAGTGAGTAACAGTAGGGGGAAATTAAGTTTAGGTTTTGTAATGACCCAGCCACTCCCAATCTCTATTCAGGCCTAATCTGATGGTGTCCAGTTTGCAAATTAATTCCAGTTCTGCAGTCTCTCGTTGGAGTCTGTTTTTGAAGTTTTTTCGTTGAAGAATTGCCACTTTCAGGTCTGTTACTGAATGACCAGGGAGGTTGAAGTGTTCTCCGACTGGTTTTTGAATGTTATGATTCCTGATGTCAAATTTGTGTCCATTTAGTCTTTGGCGTAGAGACTGTCCGGGATGTCTGGATGGAGGCCTGAGGCCGGGCACGTTACAAGAACTGTGGTGTTTGGACTCCTGAGTACCCGGGGAGGTCAGACAGAGGCTGGTTTGGGCTGGCTGGGGAAATCTAGGTCCTGGAATATCCCCCAGCGTGTGGGGTCTGTCTGCCCTGGTCTGTTCGCAGCTCACCCTGATTGAGTGACCTCAGCGGGGTCGCGTGCTGATCGGAGCCGGGTTAATGGCTGATGGGGCCCAGCCGGGTGGGGCGGGGCTGAGCACAACACTGGGGGTGGCAGGCCCCCCTGGGGAGGCTGTAACAGGTTTGGGAGCAGAGCCCTTGGAGCAGAGGGGGGCCTGGGTTCCCGGTGGGCTGGCCCCCAGCAGCCGGGGCCTGGGGGCAAAAGGCCTGTGGGCAGGTGGCCCCAGGGGGGTTGCGGAGCCGGGCCAGGGGGGTACAGCACAGCAGGCAGCCGACGTGGGGGACTCGGGGGGCCCTTCCCTGGCAGGCAGTGCTGGGATCAGGGATGCGCTGCAGGGAGCAGGACTCCTGGGTTCCAGTCACTCCTCCCCTGCACGCCAGCCTCGCCCAGCCTCCGGGGGTGCCTGCTCCTTGGCATGGGCCCCGGACCCCCCCCCGAAATGACCCCTGCCGGCACGGGAAGGCAGGAGGCAGGAGGGTGACCCAGGAGACCCTGGAGGCAGGACCCTGAGGTCCTGGAGGCAGCAGTAGGAGGTGCTAGTGGTTGGGGCCCTGTGGCTCATGGGGGGCCAGGAGGGTGCACTGGGGGGGATGGGAATTTGTTGCCCCTCCCCCACATGTCTGGGGAATGGGGGACCCCCCAAATCCAGCCCTGGCCTGCGGTGGGGTTGGCTGTTGAGTGCAGGGTGAGAGGCTGGGGTGTCAGAGGCCGGGGGGGTGGAGGGTGGGGTTAAGAAAGAACCCAGGTGTCCGGGCTGAGAGCAGTAGCCAGTGCCGGGGGAGTGGGGCGCTCGGGGGGGGGTCTCCCCGCTCACGGGGCGCTCTCCCCCCAGGCCAGGGTGTGGATCCGGTCGGCGGCTGCCTCCATGCGCTGCCGGTACTCCAGGTGTCGGTGATTCCCCTCGGGGACCCCGGCCATTCCATATGCCAGCCCCCAGCAGCACCCCGCAATGACGCCTGTCGAGTCGCTGTCTCCTGCAGGGAGATGGGCACAGGTGAGACGCGGCCCCCCTGGAGTGGGGCAGGGCACCCAGGGGCCCCCCTGGGGCGGGGCAGCTCCTCGCCCGGAGCTGGGATGGGGCCCCTCTGGGGTGGGGGCGGGACACCCAGGGATCCTGCAATGGGCTGTTTGCCCCACATGAGCCCTGTGTGGGTCAATGTGGGTCAGACGGGGCCAATTAACCTGCCATGCCCCAGCTGTGGGGGAGGTCTGGGGGGGTGCAGTCCCTGGAGGGGGCAGGGAGGTTGGCCGGGAAGGAGAATGAGGTCAGGGGGTTGCCCTGGGCCCTGCCCTGGCTGGGAGAGTCTGGCTGGGGTCAAGCGGGGTGAGAGAGCCAAGGGGAGTGGAGGAGTCTCTGGGGCCACGAGCTGTGTATACTGGCATCGGGATGCAGCTGGCTCTGGGGCAGGGTGCCGGGGGCTGTGTATACTGGGGCTGAGATGCGGCTGGCTGTGGGGCAGGGCACAGTGTATGGGGGGGGCTGTGGGGCAGGGAGCTGTGTATACCGGCATCGGGGCCAGGATGCGGCTGGCTCTGGGGCGGGACGCGGGGGGCTGTGTATACCGGCATCGGGGCCAGGATGCGGCTGGCTCTGGGGCGGGACGCGGGAGGCTGTGTTTACTGGCATGGGGGCCGGAATGTGGCTGGTTTGGGGCGGGGCGTCAGGAGCTCTGTATACTGGCCTTAGGGCTGGGATGCAGCTGAGTCTGGGGTGGGGCGGTGGGAGCTGTGTACACTTGGCATCAGGGTCAGGATGCGGCTGGCTCTGGGGCGGGGTGCTGGCAATGGTGTGTGCTGGGAGGTTCACTCCACCGCTCACCTCGTGGGTCAGGGTCGCTGGGCCGGGGGGACTGGCTGGCTTGGCCCAGGCTGGAGCCCCGTGCCCGCAGGGCAGGAGCAGGCGCAGGGTGAGCTGAGTGCGGGCGGCAGGGGCAGCCGCGGTCCCTCCCCAGCCGCAGGGCACCCCCAGAGGAAGCCGTGGGGAACCAGCAGCCCCCTGGCAGGGCGCCCCCAGAGGACGGGGTGGGGGAAAGCCTGATGCTGGCGAAGCAGGACCGAGGATTGGGACTGTGCAGGCCTGGGCGGGAGCCAGTTGGGTCCCGGGGCTCGGCCGGGTTCCCCACCAGCCCCGAGGCCGGATACTGCACGTCCGCCCGGGCCAGCAGCAGGAGGGGGCGTCGGACCTGGGGGGCGTCTGTCCCCGGAGCAGCCAGAGGGAGGCGCCCTCCCCATGGCCGCAGGGGCTGGTTTTATGAAGATCAGCATGTGAATGGCTCTGGGACAGGACAGAGGGGGCTGATTATACAGGGAGCAGAGTTTGGATGCAGCTGGCTCTGGGGCATGTCGGGGCCGGGGATGCGGCTGGCTCTGGGGCGTGGCAGAGCTCTGGGGCGCGGCGCCGGGGCCGGGGATGCGGCTGGCTCTGGGGCGTGGCAGAGCTCTGGGGCGCGGCGGGGCCGGGGATGCGGCTGGCTCTGGGGCGCGGCGCCGGGGCCGGGGATGCGGCTGGCTCTGGGGCGTGGCAGAGCTCTGGGGCGCGGCGGGGCCGGGGATGCGGCTGGCTCTGGGGCGCGGCGCCGGGGCCGGGGATGCGGCTGGCTCTGGGGCGTGGCAGGGCTCTGGGGCGCGGCGCCGGGGCCGGGGATGCGGCTGGCTCTGGGGCATGTCGGGGCCGGGATGCGGCTGGCTCTGGGGCGTGGCAGAGCTCTGGGGCATGTCGGGGCCGGGAATGCGGCTGGCTCTGGGGCGTGGCAGGGCTCTGGGGCGCGGGGCCGGGGATGCGGCTGGCTCTGGGGTGGCCAGACTCACCCCCGTGGAACATGGCCCGGCTGCAGAGCTCGTCCCAGCGGTCGCCAGAGCCCAGCAGCGCGTCGTAGGCGATCATGGGGGCATCGTGCCCGCTGCGCCCCGCCCAGCCCTCCAGGCTGAAGGTCTGGTAGATGCCGTCGCGCTCCGCCGGGCCGTAGCGGGGGGGGAACCGCGGGGGGCCGTGTCCTTCGGCCAGGCCCCGCTCAGCCAGGTACCTGCGGGGGCAGGGATGAGACCAGGCCGCCGACCCCACCCCCGGCCTCGCCCCCCTTTCCCGTCCCCCGCCCTGCGCCTGGTACCTCGCTTGGCCCCCCCCGGGGGTCTGCGCCCCCCTTTCCCATACACCATCCTGGGCTGGGCCCCCCAGACTCGCCCGGGGGTCTGCACCCCCCCTTTCCCATACACCATCCTGGCCTGGGACCCCCCAGACTCACCCGGGGGTCTGCGCCCCCCCTTTCCCATACACCACCCCGGCCTGGGACCCCCCAGACTCGCCAGGGGGTCTGCGCCCCCCCTTTTCCCATACACCATCCTGGGCTGGGCCCCCCCAGACTTGCCTGGGGGTCTGCGCCCCCCCTCGCCCCCCACACTCACCAGGCCCATTTCTGGGGGAAGTACCCCCAGGCGCCCAGGTTGGGCTCCGTCTCGACGCCCGCGTCCCGCACGTAGCTTTGGGCCAGGGGCAGCGTCTGCAGCAGGCCGGCCCCCCACTGCGCCAGGGGGAGCCCCCGCACCGCGTAGGCCGTGAACAGGGCCGAGGCCAGCGCCCCCAGGTACCCTGCAGCGGGGCAAGGGTCCGTCAGTGCCCCACACGGAGCCCCCGGTACTCTACCCCCCATCCCCGCGCCTGGGGCCAGAGCCGCCGCTCAGAGCAGGACCCCCCCAGTTCCCCCCAGCGGGGCACGGCATCGGGGGCTGGGACCTCCCACAGCCCTTCCATAAACCCCAATGGGAGATGGGCGGGGGGATGGCCTCCCACACTGTGCCCCACCCCCCTGCAATGGGGCACGGCATTGGGGGCTGGGAGATGGGGGGGCTGCCCCCCTGCAAGGGGGAGGGGGATGCCAGGGGTGGGAGTGTGGGACTATTTTCCCCTCCAGCCCCCTGGCACAGTGCCAGCCCCTCGTGCCCCTTACCTGTGGGGTGATGGTGTGTCATGCGCCCACTCTCCACGCTGATCCGGATCAGGGTCGGTAGCTCTGTGGGGTGCGGGTACCTGGGGGGGCAGGGGCAGTGCAGGGTCATGCCCCCCAGCCCGGTGCCCCTCCGACACTGGACCCCCCCAGCGCCCCCCTGGCATGCAGCCGCCAGACCCCCGAGACCCAGGGCCCCCATCTTCCTGGACACTCTGTCCTCTGTCCTGACCCCCCCCAGTCTCCTCCTGGTGCCCCCAGCTCCGACCCCCTTCCCTGGGGTGCTCCATGGCCCCTGGGGGCCCCGGCCCCCACCTGAGCCCGATGGCCATGGAGCGCATGGCGGCCCCGCAGCCGGTGGCGTTGGGGTTGAAGGGGATCCGGTACCCGGCCGGCTCACCCGGGCGCAGCTGGGATGTCCCTGGAGGGAGAGAGGGTGGGGGTCACACGGGCACCCCGCAGAGTCCCTGAAATAGCACCCCCCAAGCCCGGCCCAGGTATGCACAGCCCATGACCCCCCCCCACGTGTCCTGGGGACCCCCCATGCTCCCCCCCATGTCACAGGCGTGTGGGGCTGGCGGGCTGCGGGGGCTGCTGGGCTCGGGGGGGCACATGGGGCAGCTGGGCGGGGCAGTGGAGGGGGCCCCAGGAGGCAGCTGCAGGCTAGGTGTTGGTGGGCATGGGGGGGGGCCAGTGCCCAGGGGGTGCCAGGCATGGGGGGGGCATCTCTACCCTACCCAGGATGCTGGTGGGGCCGGGTTTCCTGCCCTCCATGTCTCCCATGGCTGCCACGTAGCCTCGCGCCAACTCCTGCAGCAAGGGCTCCCCTTCCAGTCCTGGGGGGCAGAGAGAGGGGTCAGTCTGGGGCCCCCCCAGCCACCACAGGGACCCCCAGCCAGTCCCCTTCCTCCCCCAACACCCCAACTTCTCTGGGTCCAGCTAACCGGCCCAACCTGATCCCTGATTTATCCCCGCCCCGGTGCCCCCCATTGCCCCCGGGTCTGCGCCCCTGGGGCGTTCGGAGGGTAACGGAAGGCCCCCCGGCCAGGTGACCGGAGCCGTGCTCGGAAGGGACGGAGGTGAAGACGAGGGAGCGAGACGGGCTGAGCGCTCGGGGCTGGGGGTGGGAGCCGACGAGTCTCGGTGATGGCGGGGCTCGGATCCCAAGAGGGATATGGACACTGAGGAGGACGCTGGAGCGACCCGGGTCATTGTCTGGGCCCTGGGAGGGTTGTGGTGGCCTGTGTCCGGACTGGTGGTGGGTAAGTGGCCCCCAGCCTGTCTGGGAGAAGGGAAGTCAGGCCGCGAGGCTGCTGGAAATGTCTCCGGACCCTGGGACACGGTCCTTCCTCAGCGCAGGTCTGCCTTGGGGCTCAGGAGGGGAGACCCTGAGCCGTAAGGATTGAGACCCCCAGCCGCTGACTGGAGTCGCCCTGAGCGTGGACGCTGGGCTGTAACCTCCGGACTGTTTCCAAACGGACTTTTGGCCGCTCCAGGCTCGTCTCTGCCCTCAAGAAGGGAACTCGAGCCTGTCTGGGGATCGACCCCGTCCCCAGCTCTCCGGCTTTTCTTTGCCAACCCTCCTCCCCCCGACAGGGGTGTCTGGATGGAGGCCGGAGGCCCGGCAGGTCAGGGGGACGGCGTCGGTGCCCGGGGGGCCGGACAGAGGCTGCTTCGGGCTGGCTGGGGGACCCTAGGTCCTGGGATGTCCCCCGGCGTGTGGGGTCTGTCTGCCCCGGTCTGTTCGCAGCTCACCCTGATTGAGTGACCTCAGCGGGCTCCCACGGGCAGCCCCGTCACCCCCCCCTTTTCTCTCCCCCCCGGGTCTGTGCCCCCCCATTTCCCCCTGGATCTGTGCCCCCCAGACCTGTGTCCCCCTCACCGGTGGCCAGGGCCTCGGCGGTTGCCAGGTGCAGGATGGTGTCGTCACTGACGGGCCAGTCGGGGAGCGCGGCCTGGATGCCCCCCAGCCCCCCCAGCTGGGCCAGCTCGGCGTGGATCTGGGGGCCCGAGGGGCAGTACTCCCAGCGCTGGTTCCGGTAGCCCAACGCGTCGCCCGCCCCGCTCAGCACCATGGCCGCTCGGTACGCTGCCCGGGGAGGGGCCCTGGGGGGAGACGGGGGTCAGGACTCCGGCCCCCCAAGCATCAGCCCCCCGCCGCTCCCCCCCGCCGCTCAGCGCCCTGCTGGCTGGGTAAAGGTGTGGGGTGGGTCAGGGGTCTGGCCCCCCAACCCCCCCCAACTCTTCACCCCCCCCCCACTCAGCTCCATGGCTGGGGCTGGGGACAGCCTGGGGTGGGGGAGGGGGGCACTTACGTCCCCTCCATGGAGCCTCCAGCTGGCCGGGGGCGTCTGGCCCACCTGCGTCCGTCTGTCCCTGCCGGCCCCTGCCCGTCCCTCTGTCTGTCTGTCTGGCCGTCAGTCTCTGCGGGGCCCTGCGTCCCTGTGTCCCTCCCTGCGTCCGTCTGTCCCTGCCGGCCCCTGCCCACCCCTCTGCAAGGGCCTGGCCGGCCGGCCGTCCCCCCGTCTGTCTGTGCCCGTCCCTGCAGGCCCCTGTCCCTGGGTCCCCCTGTGTCGCCCCCCCAATGCTGGCTCAGCGAGTCCTGTCTCTAAACGCGGCCTTGGCGCGGAGCCAGCTCCAGCCGGCCGCCCTTAAAGGGGCCAGAGAAACCAGAGCCCGCAAGGAGGGGGCTAGATGGGGGTGTGGGGCCGGGGAGCTGGCTTGGGGGGTGGGGGGCTGGGTAGATGGGGCTGTGGGGGTGGAGCTGGGAGTGTGGGGGCAGGTGGGAGCTGGGTAGATGGGGATGTGGGGTGGGGGCAGGGGGGCTGGCTGGGGCTGTGGGGGTGGGGAGCTGGGTGCCTGGGGGTGTGTGGGGCTGGCTAGATGGGGCTGTGTGGCTAGATGGGGCTGGGTAGATGGGGCCGGCTGGGGTTGTGGGGCTGGCTAGGTGGGGCTGTGTGGGGCTGTGTGGCTAGATGGGGCTGGGGGGTGGGGGGCTGGGTAGTTCTGCCTCCCCCCAGCTCTCGCTGCCATTTCCTGCCATGCGCCCATCTCCGCATCACAGCCCACAGCTCGTCCGCTGGTCACTGCCTCCCGCCCGTTTCCTGCCCCCGGGGGCCCCTGGGCTCAGAGCCGTGCGCGGGCCCCACTGGGTCAGCCGGGCAGGGGGCAGCGGGAGCCGGCCCCACGGGGGGGAGCTGTCGGGCCAGGCTGGCTGCAGACTCAGGCAGGCGTCGCCGCTCCCCCGGCCGGGCGTCGCCAGGGCCGGGGCAGACCCTCCCCAGGGGCTGCGTGTGGGGCGGGCGCTCGGTCGCGATGCGCCTGGTGCTGTGGGTCGCCCTCCTGCGGCTGGCGGCCGGCTCCCGGCAGCGTGGTAAGGGCAGGGGGCGAGGCCTCCGTGTCAGACGCATGGAGCTGGCAAGATCCAGGGGGCAGCGGCTGGTCCTTGCTCTGTGTGTGGCTGCGTGTGCAGCACCTGGCACCCGGGCCCCGACCTCGGGCGGGGCGGGAGGGCTGGGCGGCGAGGGGGCCCAATCTCGGGCGGGGCGGGGGGCTGGGCGGCGAGGGGGCCCGATCTCGGGCGGGGCGGGGGTCTGGGTGGCGAGGGGCCCGATCTCGGGCGGGGGCGGGGGGCTGGGCGGCGAGGGGCCTGACAGGTCCCCACGCGGGCGTCTCCCAGCTCTGACTCTCCTGCCCCTCCCAGGTCACTGCCTGGGGGGCTCCGAGTCCTGGGTGCCCGGCCCGAGGGGGCGTCCCTGGATATGAGCTGCACCGTGGAGCCCCCCCCTGCCGCCCGGGGCCCTCCACCAGTGCCCTGAGCATCCGGGCCCTGCGGGGCCACGACTCGGGCGTCTGTCGCTGCCACCTCGTCCTGCTGCTCTCGGGGCAGCCCTGCCTGCTGCTGGGGCCTGGGACCCACCTCGTCGTCACAGGTACCCTGCCCCCCAGCAGTCCTGCCCTGCCCCCGTCTTCCCCTTCCCTGCCCCCCAGTCCTGCCCTGCCCTGTCTTCCCTTCCCCGGCCTGCCCCCAGTCCTGCCCTGCCCCTGTCTTCCCCTTCCCTGCCCCCCAGTCCTGCCCTGCTCCCATCTTCCCTTCCCCGGCCTGCCCCCCAGTCCTGCCCTGCCCCCGTCTTCCCCTTCCCTGCCCCCCAGTCCTGCCCTGCTCCCGTCTTGCCTTCCCCGGCCTGCCCCCCAGTCCTGCCCTGCCTCCATCTCCCCTTCCCCCAGCTCTGCCAGTGCCCCTCACTCCCGACCCGCAGCCCCCTGCTAGCCCGGCCCTGCCCGCCCCGGGTCTGCCGGTGCCCCTCACTCCCGACCCGCAGCCCCTCAGATTTGCCCAGACAGAGCTGACCGGGAGGAGATCTCAGGATGTCTCTCTCTTTCTCTCTCTTTCTCTCTCTCTCAGGTCCCTCTGCTCAGAACACGACCTGGTCCGGTCTGCAGGAGAACACAACCCGGTCTGAGCCCAGACGTCGAGGACTGCCCCCACATCACTGGACCATCCGGCTGCTGGCGCTGGGAGCAGGACTCGTTCTCACGGCTGCCGTTGTGCTTTGCCTGCCCAGGAGGAGGGGAAGGGAGAACCGGGAATGAAACCCGCTCGACTCGGCTCCTCTGGGAGTTTGCCTCATTTCTGCTGGGCTGAGAGGAACCTCGTTCAGAGCTGAAATGGCACTTTCAACCCGGGATCCCTCCTGCCCTGTCACCTTCTACTCCTGGGGGGATTCTGCACCACTGTGCACATAATTCATGGGCCGCACATAATTTCCTGCCCCCCGCAGAAAATAACTTATGCCTGCAGTTCCGCCTTTTGCCCACCAGGGGCCCCTGTGGCGCTAGAACAGAGCAGCTGCCCGGAAGAGAATTGGCTGCCTGCCCATGGGGCCAGGTCAGGAGACGGGATACGGGGGGACGGACGGTGTGGGGCACATGGAGCTGCTGGGGGCGGGTGTCACAGACTGGGGTTCCTAAGGGTTATTGGGAGAGGACAGACTGGGGCAGGGGCTGAATGGGAGTGGAGGGGCAGGGCCATGTGGGGGAAGGGAGGTGGCTGAGTTGGGGCACAGAGACGTGGGGACAGCGGGGAGGGGCTGCAGGGACACAGACAACGTGGCGTGAGCTCTGCCTAGCCTGCTGGGTGGCCCATTAAGGACGCTCAGCCACACAACTGACCCACTGAGAGAAGGCATGGGGACTCAGCCAGGTGTGCAGGGCCCTGCCTAGGGACAGAGCTCTGAGCTGTTCCCAGGCCATGGGATGGGCAGCTTGTCCTTGGGACACAGAAAGCAGAGACCACACGGCAAGAGACTATAAAAGGCAGCTGCTGCTCCTCCATCTGGTCTTCAGTCCTGCCTCTGGCCTCTGGAGGGACTTTGCTACAAACTGAAGCTCTGAACGAAGGACTGAAGGACCCGTCCCAGCTGGGGATGTTCTCCAGAGACAGGATTTGAACCTGCCGTTTATTCCATCACTGCGACAAGCCTGAAACAAGAACTCTGACATCACTGGGTGTCATTGATTCCATTGAACCCATTCCAGCTCTCGTCTCTATTTCTTTCCTTTTATGAATAAACCTTTAGATTTTAGATTCTGAAGGACTGGCAACAGCGTGATTGGTGGGTAGGATCTGATTTGTACATTGTGTCACGGAGTGTGGGGGAGTCCGGGCCCTGCACCCCACTTCCTGGGATTCCCTGAGACTCTCAGCCAGCCAGTAAAACAGAAGGTTTATTGGACAACAGGAACACAGTCCAAAACAGAGCTTGTGGGTGCAACCAGGACCCCTCAGTCAAGTCCTTCTGGGGGAGCAGGGAGCTCAGACCCCAGCCCTGGGGTTCCCTGTGTTCCTCCACCCAGCCCCAAACTGAAACTAAACCCCCCCCCCAGCAGGCCCCCTCCTGCAACCTGTCTTCACATTCCCCGGCAGAGGTGTTACCTCCCCCTCCCCCTCCTGGCTCAGGTGACAGGCTCTCAGGTCTCCCATCCCCAGGGCACATTCCCAGGTCAACACTCCCCCCTCCCTGCTGAGTCACATCGTCACATCTCTCCCCCCTTCGAGACTGAACTGAGCGGGGTCACTGTGACCAGTGACCTGGGGAAGTTCGGGGCCCCCTCTCCGGGACAGCGCATCCGCTATCAGGTTGGCCCTTCCCTTCACATGACCACGTCCATGTCGTAATCCTGCAGGAGCAGGCTCCATCTCAGGAGCTTGGCGTTGGCTCCTTTCATCTGGTGCAGCCAGGTCAGGGGAGAGGGGTCGGTGTACACGGTGAAGTGTCGCCCAAAAAGATAGGGCTCTAGTTTCTGAAGGGCCCACACCATGGCCAGGCACTCCTTCTCGATGGCCGCGTAGTGTTGCTCCCGGGGTAGCAACTTCTTGCTCAGGTACACGATGGGGTGTCTCTCCCCCTTTCCGTCCTCCTGCATTAACACCGCCCCCAGTCCCGTGTCGGAGGCGTCGGTGAACACCACAAAGGGCTTGTCAAAGTCTGGGTTTGCCAGAACTGGGCCACGGACCAGAGCCTCCTGCCATATAACAGTTCAAAAGGCGAAAATCCAGTCGATTCCTGGGGCACCTCCCGGTACGCGAACAGCAGGTGAGGTAAGTACTTGTCCCAGTCCTGCGGGTGCTGGTTCATAAAGGTTTTCAGCATCATCTTTAGCGTCCCGTTAAACCTCTCCACCAGCCCATTGGACTGGGGGTGATAAGCTGAGGCCCAGTCGTGCCGGACCCCACATTTCTCCCACAAGCACTGGAGCGGGGCCGACATGAAGTTGGAGCCTTGGTCTGTCAAGACTTCCTTGGGGAACCCCACTCGGCTGAAAATGGTCAGGAGCATCGGCCACGGTGTCTGCTTCAATGGAAGCTAAGGGCACTGCCTCGGGGTAGCGGGTGGCAAAATCTACCACCCCCAGAATGTATTTCTTCCCCGACCGGGTCGTCTTGCTGAGAGCCCATTCTTGGTCCAGGAACCCCTTCTCCCACAGGAACCTCTCCTGGCAGCCTCTCCTCATGGTCCGTCCCACACCAAGGTCGGCCAGGTCCCTGAGCTTCCGCAAGGAGGGATCTTTCCTCACCTCGGCCTGGAACTCAGCGGCTGGGGAAGGGATGGGGCCCGGTTCCCCCTCAGTGGCCAGGTCTGAGGCCTCCTCTCTCTGAGCCGTGCCCCTCGGCCCTCCCTCCCCACCAGGGAAGGGTCCTGCACCTCCGGTGTGGTACCCTCCCCGAGGTCAGGGAGCAGTGCCCCTCGCCGGCTCTGGCTACGGGTCACAACCAGGGCGGTCTGGGGCTTGCTTGGCCAGTCCTCTTGGTCTCCCCCCATCAAAACTTCAGTGGGCAAAGGGTGGTGTACCCCCAAATCCTTGGGGTCCTCCTTCGCCCCCCATTTCAGGTGTACCCTTGCCACGAGCACCTTAAATGGGGTCCCGCCCACCCCCGTCAGGGTCAGGTAGGTGTTGGGCACCACCCGATCTGGGGCCACCACCTCGGGCCGGGCCAGCGTCACCTCCGCGCCCGTATCCCAGTATCCATTGACCTTCCTCCCATCCACCTCCAGGGGAACAAGGCACTCTCTCCGGAGGGACAGCCCTGCGCCCACCCTGTAAACCAAGCACCCTGAGTCCAGAGCCTCCAGCCCTCTGGCGGGGCTGGCCGGGGGTACTCTTCCCTCCGGGGCAGGTGGTAAACTGGTAGCCCCCCTTTCCTGGGTCGTCTGCCCCTCGTCCAGCTGGGTCCCTACCCAGTTAACCCTGGGTAGGTTGGGTCTGCTCAGTCTGTCCCTGAGCCTGGGGCACTGGGTCCGTATGTGGCCTCTCTGGCCACAGTGATAGCAGCTCAGGTCACGTTGGTCCCCTCGAGCGGGTCGGAGGGGCCCGACGCCAGGCGTTCCCCTTGGGAGGGGGTTCTCCCTATTTCCCCGCTGGGGGGTCCCCTGGTGACTCTCTCTCTCTGAATCGGGGGGGGGGCCTGTTGTTTTGGGACTCCTACCGGCTACCCCCTGACCGACTGTTCACAAACTCGTTGGCCAGCTGCCCTGCGTGCTGGGGGTTCTCGAGCTTTTTGTCCACCAGCCACAGCCTCAGGTCGGAAGGGCACTGTTCATACAGTTGCTCCAGTATGATTAGGTCAAGCAGGTCCTCTTTAGCTCGGGCCCCAGCTGTCCACTTGCGGGCATACCCCTGCATCCGGTTGACCAGTTGTAGGTAGGTGACCTCAGGCGTTTTACGCTGACTCCGGAACCTTCTCCGGTCAGGACTCTGGGGCAGTCGCCTTTCTGTGAGCAGCCTGTCTGCAGGACACACAGCTCACACAGCTTCCACCTTCCTGGGTCTGACCTCGGAGCATTCAGCATCCTCTGCCCCTCCTTGTGCTTCCCACAGCGAGTCCGCCCAGGCGGGGCTCCTGGGGAAGCCAGAGGGTCCTGCACCCCAACTTCGCAGTCAGACGTGACTCTCAGCCAGCCAGTAAAACAGAAGGTTTATTAGACGACAGGAACATGGTCTAACACAGAGTTTGTAGGTGCAGAGAACAGGACCCCTCAGCTGGGTCCATTTTGGGGGGCAATGAGCCAGACAACCCCGTCTGCCCTTCACTCCATGTCCCCAGCCAGCCCCAAACTGAAACTCCCTCCAGCCCCCCCTCCTCTGGGCTTTGTCCCTTTCCCGGGCCAGGAGGTCACCGGATTCCTTTGTTCTCCAACCCTTCAGCTCTCACCTTGCAGGGGGGAAGGGCCCAGGCCATCAGTGGCCAGGAAACAGGGTGTCGGCCATTCTCTGTGTCCAGACCCCTGCACACACCTGCCCTCTAGGGCTCTGCAATGATCATACACCCTTACCCCACCCCCTAGAGACTTAAGAACTGCCTAGGGGAAACTGAGGCACCCCCACACTATTCAGAGGAAACATTAAGAACAGTCCCACTTCGTTTCAAAGGGCCAGGGTACATAAATGGCCGACACCCTGTTTCCTGGCCACTGATGGCCTGGTCCTTCTGTGACGAAGTGGGACTGTTCTTAATGTTTCCTCTGAATAGTGTGGGGGTGCCTCAGTTTCCCCTAGGCAGTTCTTAAGTATCTAGGGGGTGGAGTAAGGGAGTATGATCATTGCAGAGCCCTAGAGGGCAGGTGTGTGCAGGGGTCTGGACACAGAGAATGGCCGACACCCTGTTTCCTGGCCACTGATGGCCTGGGCCCTTCCCCCCCCTGCAAGGTGAGAGCTGAAGGGTTGGAGAACAAAGGAATCAGGTGACTACCTGGCCCGGGAAAGGAACAAAGCCCAGAGGAGGAGGGGCTGGAGGGAGGTTCAGTTTGGGGCTGGCTGGGACATGGAGTGAAGTGCAGACGTGGTTGTCTGGCTCACTGCCCCCCAAAATGGACCCAGCTGAGGGGTCCCGTTCTCTGCACCTGCAAGCTCTGTTTTAGACCATGTTCCTGTCGTCTAATAAACCTTCTGTTTTACTGGCTGGCTGAGAGTCACGTCTGACTGCGAAGTTGGGGGGCAGGACCCTCTGGCTTCCCCAGGAGCCCCGCCTGAGCGGACTCGCGGTGGGAAGCCCACGGAGGGGCAGAGGATGCTGAATGCTCCGAGGTCAGACCCAGGAAGGTGGAAGCTGTGTGAGCTGTGTGTCCTGAAGACAGGCTGCTCACAGAAAGGCGACTGCCCCAGAGTCCTGACTGACTTCATGGGGAGCAGTTCCAGAGCATCGCCCAGGGACTCCGTGACAACTGGTGGCAGCGGTGGGATGTACTGCACCCCGTGGATGGTGCTTCCTGCAGTAAGTGACTGGGGAGCAGTAACACGAAGGGGGATTGCCGAGGACCAGGCCTGCTGAAGGCTCAGAGAGGAGCGGTTTCGGGGGGCGGTTAACCCCTGGGAGTGTGTGACCAGCGAGAAGGACTGTGCAGTAGCAGGGTTCCCCTGGGGATTGCAGCGAGCGGTCCCAGGGGCGGAGGAGTCTGCAGCTCGACCCTGGCAAAGAGGGGGTGACCTCGAGAAGGGCTGGCACACTAGGGGTTCTCCCTGGAAACCGTGGGGAGCTGAGAACACACGGGCCTGTGAGTCCACAACAACTTGGGAGGAGCGGAGTGACGGCCTGTCACTGTCTCCTTAAGAAGGACATTGTAACCCTGTGCAAAAAGAGAGGGTTGAGCGTTGGAAAGTTCACCAAAGCAGAGTTAATCGTGCAGCTGGAGGAGGATGACCGCTCTAAGGAAGGTTTCAGAGGAACAGCCGTGTTAGTCTGTATTCGCAAAAAGAAAAGGAGTACTTGTGGCACCTTAGAGACTAACCAATTTATTTGAGCATGAGCTTTCGTGAGCCACAGCTCACTTCATCAGATGTGACATCTGATGAAGTGAGCTGTGGCTCACGAAAGCTCATGCTCAAATAAATTGGTTAGTCTCTAAGGTGCCACAAGTACTCCTTTTCTTTTCGCTCTAAGGAACAGATTCCTGACCCCAACTGGGGCTATAGCAGGATCTGGGAGCAGCTGAAGCGGGAGCCAGGCATCGCCAAGACTCCTGTCCCCGACCAGACGGGGGTCTTCACGATCGGGTTCCCCATCGGGGGATCGAGACGGACGGGATTGGAGCTGAGTCTGAGAGAGCAAGAGGACCGTGGGAGGCAGCGAGAGCCCGAGAAAGAGCTGCAGAAGCAGCAGCAGCATGAACTGGCGGTGGTGGGGCGGAGAGGCCTAGGGGACCTCCCCGGGGTGAGTGGGGATAGACCCCGGGGGGCCAGTTCCGCAGGGAACCTCGAGACTAAATTGCTGCCCCTGGTTAAGGAGGGGGGGGGTGTGGATGCCCACCTCACTGCCTTTGAGCAGGCTGGAGATTTGAACCAGGGGGACCCTGCGGAAAAGCCCCGGTGTCTAGCTCCCTTGCTGGGTCCCAAGGCCATAGACTCCGTCAGCCAGATGGTTGGGGATGTGGACAGGCTCCCACTCCTGACCCCAACCTATATGACTGTGTGGAGTTTCCTGGGGCCAGGCCCCCCGGACCTCCAGTGGGAGCAGAAGGTGATGGTCAATGGGGAGACATTCTTGGGGTGGCCAAAGGGCATGGGCTGCATAAACCTTCCCACATGCGGCCTGCGAGTGCTATCGACCACCCCTGACCTAAGGGAGGGCGTGAAACTGGAAGGGCCTGGTGTAACTCCTACCAAGGAATGGGAGAGATGCTGGGGATCCATGGGAATGTTGGTGGCTTCGAACTTCCCCAGGTCACTGGCTAAAGTGACCCCGCTCAGTTCGATCTCGAAGGGGGGAGAGATGTGACGAAGTGGGACTGTTCTTAATGTTTCCTCTGAATAGTGTGGGGGTGCCTCAGTTTCCCCTAGGCAGTTCTTAAGTATCTAGGGGGTGGAGTAAGGGTGTATGATCATTGCAGAGCCCTAGAGGGCAGGTGTGTGCAGGAGTCTGGACACAGAGAATGGCCGACACCCTGTTTCCTGGCAACTGATGGCCTGGGCCCTTCCCCCCCTGCAAGGTGAGAGCTGAAGGGTTGGAGAACAAAGGAATCCGGTGACCTCCTGGCCTGGGAAAGGGACAAAGCCCAGAGGAGGGGGGGCTGGAGGGAGTTTCAGTTTGGGGCTGGCTGGGACATGGAGTGAAGTGCAGACGTGGTTGTCTGGCTCACTGCCCCCCAAAATGGACCCAGCTGAGGGGTCCTGTTCTCTGCACCTACAAGCTCTGTGTTAGACCATGTTCCTGTCGTCTAATAAACCTTCTGTTTTACTGGCTGGCTGAGAGTCCTGTCTGACTGCGGAGTTGGGGGGCAGGACTCTCTGGCTTCCCCAGGATAACGCCTGGGCAGACTCACTGGGGGAAGCGCACGGAGGGGCAGAGGAGGCTGAATGCTCCGAGGTCAGACCCAGGAAGGTGGAGCCGGGTGAGCTGTGTGTCCTGCAGACAGGCTGCTCACAGAAAGGAGACTTTCCCAGAGTCCTGCCCGGCTTTGTGGGGAGCAGGTCCAGAGCATCGCCCGGGGATCCCGTGACACCCCTGCCCTGGGGCACAGCTGGGGGGGAGGGGGTGCCCGGACCCTTCTCTGGCAGGGCTGGTGCTGCCCCAGAGAGGCCCCGGCTGCCCCCGGGTCAGCGGGAGCCCTGGGCTATGAGCCCTGTTGCCTCCTGTGACGAAGTGGGACCGTTCTTAATGTTTCCTCTGAATAGTGTGGGGGTGCCTCAGTTTCCCCTAGGCAGTTCTTAAGTATCTAGGGGGTGGAGTAAGGGTGTATGATCATTGCAGAGCCCTAGAGGGCATGTGTGTGCAGGAGTCTGGACACAGAGAATGGCCGACACCCTGTTTCCTGGCAACTAATGGCCTGGGCCCTTCCCCCCCTGCAAGGTGAGAGCTGAAGGGTTGGAGAACAAAGGAATCAGGTGACCACCTGGCCCGGGAAAGGAACAAAGCCCAGAGGAGGAGGGGCTGGAGGGGGTTTTTTCAGTTTGGGGCTGGCTGGGACATGGAGTGAAGTGCAGACGCGGTTGTCTGGCTCACTGCCCCCCAAAATGGACCCAGCTGAGGGGTCCCGTTCTCTGCACCTGCAAGCTCTGTTTTAGACCATGTTCCTGTCGTCTAATAAACCTTCTGTTTTACTGGCTGGCTGAGAGTCACGTCTGACTGCGAAGTTGGGGTGCCGGACCCTCTGGCTTCCCCAGGAGCCCCGCCTGAGCGGACTCGCTGGGGGAAGCGCACGGAGGGGCAGAGGATGCTGAATGCTCCGAGGTCAGACCCAGGAAGGTGGAAGCTGGGTGAGCTGTGTGTCCTGAAGACAGGCTGCTCACAGAAAGGCGACTGCCCCAGAGTCCTGACTGGCTTCATGGGGAGCAGTTCCAGAGCATCGCCCAGGGACTCCGTGACACCTCCCTGTGCCCGGGCCCTGGCCGGACGGGCACCGGCTTTGCACAGACCCGCCCGGCCCGGACAGTCGGGGGGAGCTGACAGACACTGCCCCAAACGGGGACTCGGCAGCCAGTGCAGGGGGCAGGGCAGACAGAGACCCAGGCTGGGGGGGGGCAGGGCGGACACAGATGCAGGTGGGGGGGCAGGGCTGACAGAGACCCAGGCTGGGGGGGAGCAGGGCGGACACAGATGCAGGTGGGGGGGCAGGGCTGACAGAGACCCCAGACTCTCTGGGGGGGATCAGCACAGACCCAAGCCGGGTGCCGTGGGGCACGTGTCAGCGAACGATCAACACAAGCCTTATCTCCGGGGTCCAGCCGCGGCTGGGCCGCGTCTCCCGCCCATCACAGAGCCGTTGGCTGCTGCCCCCGATAACGCTGCCCCCGGCCGAGCTGGGGCCCGGGGGCTGCCAGTCGGAGCCGGACGCCCTGCGGAGCAGACACGGACCGCCCAGTGTCGCCATGAGCCGCTCCCCGCTGACCCTCCTCCTCGTCCTCGGCCTCCTCGGGGGCTGCGGTGAGTGGCTGGGAGCCCGCCCTGGACACGGGGAGCCCCGAGGGGTAACAGGTCCCCCAGCTGCAGGGCAGAGCCTCCTGGGCAGGGCGGGGAGGGCTCCATCGGGGGGCCTGGGGGACCCCCGTCGCCAGCCCCCGCTGGCTGGGCCGGGAGCTGGAGGGAGCAGGGCAGAGACAAACACCCCCCCGCCCCCCCTTCTGTCCCCGCCGCGGGTACCCCACGGCTTTACCGGGGCCGCTGCTCCCCGGCTGAGCGGCTGTCAGCGTCCCCCCCAGACCAAGCCAGCCGCCGGCTCACCCCCTCCCGGGCCTCTGACCCGCCCCTGCTCTCTGTGCCCGGTGCAGCCGGCAAGCTGGCGGTGGAGACGGACGCCTCCCCGGTGCGAGCCAAGGTGGGGGACGACGTGGTGCTGAAGTGTCAGTTCTCCGTGGCGCGGCCCCCCGTGGACCTGAGCCAGCTGGTGGTGCAGTGGTTCCACCGGGGCGGGCAGCTGGTGGAGTTCGACACCGTGGTGAGCGGGAGCCGGCCGGGCGCCAACCTGAGCGTGGAGGGGCTGCAGAGGGGCAACGCCGCGCTCTACCTGAGCCAGGTGACGCCGGAGAGCGCCGGCAACTACCGCTGCTATGTCACCTACGCGCCCGACGTGCGCATCAAACAGGTCGTCCTCCAAGTCGAGGGTAAGGCGGCCGGCCCGCCGGGGCCTGCTATGGGTCCCGCCGTGGGCCCTGCCGGGGTCATGCCACGGGGCCTGCCTTGGGGCCTGCCACGGGTCCTGCTATGGGTCCCGCCGTGGGCCCTGCCGGGGTCATGCCACGGGGCCTGCCTTGGGGCCTGCCACGGGTCCTGCTATGGGTCCCGCCGTGGGCCCTGCCGGGGTCATGGCACGGGGCCTGCCTTGGGGCCTGCCACGGGTCCTGCTATGGGTCCCGCCGTGGGCCCTGCTGGGGTCATGCCACGGGGCCTGCCTTGGGGCCTGCCACGGGTCCTGCTATGGGTCCCGCCGTGGGCCCTGCCGGGGTCATGCCACGGGGCCTGCCTTGGGGCCTGCCACGGGTCCTGCTATGGGTCCCGCCGTGGGCCCTGCCGGGGTCATGCCACGGGGCCTGCCTTGGGGCCTGCCACGGGTCCTGCTATGGGTCCCGCCGTGGGCCCTGCCGGGGTCATGCCACGGGGCCTGCCTTGGGGCCTGCCACGGGTCCTGCTATGGGTCCCGCCGGGGGCCCTGCCGGGGTCATGCCACGGGGCCTGCCTTGGGGCCTGCCACGGGTCCTGCTATGGGTCCCGCCGTGGGCCCTGCCGGGTCATGCCACGGGGCCTGCCTTGGGGCCTGCCACGGGTCCTGCTATGGGTCCCGCCGTGGGCCCTGCCGGGGTCATGCCACGGGGCCTGCCTTGGGGCCTGCCACGGGTCCTGCTATGGGTCCCGCCGTGGGCCCTGCCGGGGTCATGCCACGGGGCCTGCCTTGGGGCCTGCCATGGGTCCTGCTATGGGTCCCGCCGTGGGCCCTGCTGGGGTCATGCCACGGGTCTTGCTATGGGGCCTGCCTTGGGGCCTGCCATGGGTCGTGCTATGGGCCATGCATGGGGCCCTGCCCTGGGGCCTTGCCACAGGCCGGCCAACACTCCCCTTGCTCTCCAGAGAGCTGGGAACTCCCACCCACAGCCCCGCTCCCACCCCATTCCCGCCTGCCCCCGACAGAGCTCCTGCCCCCTGCCCACAGCGCCCCCTGCTGGCCGAGGTGGGGGCTGCAGCAGCTGCAGCTGCTGGCCTGCTGATGGAGGCGGCTGGGGCCGCCGGGGCAGACGTGCACCGGTCGTGGTGACGGGTGTCCCCGGTTTGTGCCCCGCAGACCCCTCGAAGCCGCCCACGGAGGAGCCGGAGGCCGTGGCCCCTCACGCCTGCACCCCCGACCCCGACCCCCTGGTGCTGAAGAAGCTGGACCAGGTGCTGAGCATCCTGCAGCAGATCAGCCGCAAGCTGGGAGCGGCGGGTGCCGGGGCTGGGGGGGACGCCTGAGCCCAGCCCCGACTCCAGGGGACACCCGGGCTGCACGGGGATGATCTCGGCGCTGTGGGGGCATCTATGGGGCCAGTTGCGGGGGGGGGGGGGAATGAAGAGAGCAGCAGGGGAGGCATCGTGGAGGGAAAGAGCCAGGGAGCTGCTGGGACAGGATAGGGGCCGGGGGGGCAGAGGGAGTAGGGGCTACACATTGGGCGAGGGGGAGAGGGCTTTGCTTGGTGCTGCATGTGGGGGGATGTAGCAGGAGGCTGTGCATTGGGGGGGATGCTGTGGGGGGCTGTGCACTGGGGGGAAGGGGGTTCAGCTTTAGGGTGGTCCCATTGGGCCGCACCGGGATGCAGGTTGTGAGCTGTTGTCTGAATAAAGCCGGTGGTGATGCACGGTCCGTGTCCTCATCCGTGATGTGGGGGTCGGGGGGGTGAACCCCGCCGCTGAGCCTCCATCCCGGCCCCACACTCTCTGTGTCTGGGGCAGTGGGACAGGCCCCCCAGAAGGGGAATGGGGGCTGCCCCATCCCAGGGGGTGCAGGGTCCGGCCCCTCTCCCTGATGGGACGCTGCCCTGGAGGGAGGAGAGGGTGTCCCGTGTCCAGGGCATTGACTGAGGCCTGGCTGGGCTCGGCCCGTGCTGCCCCCGGGAAGGGGCGACTATAATCCGAGGGGAGCGGAGCCCAGAGCCGGGTGGGGGGTGAACCACCCCCAGGCTGGGGTCCCCACGCCGACACAGAGCAGGCCTGGGGCAGGGAACCGCCCCCCATGCCTGGCTGGGACAGTCCGACACGGGTGCCACGGGAAGGGGACACGGGTGTCCTGGGGGTACTTGGGTCCTGGCCCCACGAGGCCACCGGCTGCCCCAGGATAAAAACAATCCAGGCAGACGGCACCGGCGTGCCTGGGGGGACGGGATGGGACGTCCCAGCCAATCAGGGGGCTGCTGGCCACGTTCGGGGCTTATCGGGGCCCTGCCCCATGCACGCACCCCCAGAGATGTGTCTGTGTGGGGCCGTGCTGGCCCTGTGCTGCATGGCAGCTGGTGAGTATGGGGCCAGTCCCGCCGCAGGTCCCCCGGGGTCTCCCCGAGACTGGCCCCTCGCTGCCCCGAGGTCTCCCTGAGACTGGCCCATCGCTGCCCCTGAGTCTCCCCGACACTGACCCCTCGCTGCCCCGGGATTCCCCTGTGACCTCCCCGAGACAGGGCCCCTTGCTGCCCCAGGGTCGCCCTGAGACTGGCCCTTCGCTGCCCCTGAGTCTCCCCGACACTGACCCCTCGCTGCCCCGGGATTCCCCTGTGACCTCCCTGAGACTGGCCCCTCGCTGCCCCGGGGTCTCCCTGAGACTGGCCCCTCGCTGCCCCTGGGTTTCCCCGAGACTGGCCCATCGCTGCCCCTGAGTCTCCCCGACACTGACCCCTCGCTGCCCCGGGATTCCCCTGTGACCTCCCCGAGACAGGGCCCCTCGCTGCCCTGGGTCTCCTCGAGACTGGGCCTCCACTGCCCATGGGGATTCCCCTGTGACGTCCCCAATACTGGCCCCCCACTGCCCCTGGATCTCCCTGAGACAGGCCTCTCATTGCCCTGGGGGGTTCCCCCTGGATCTGCCCAAGACAGGCAGGAGGGTGAGGGGGGCAGGAGCCAGCTCAGGGGGGAGATGAGAGCTACCCCTGCTTCCCCAAAGCGGAAGGGCCAAGCAGTTCCCCTCATCACTCCAGGGCAGGGTGTGGGGACCCCAACAGAGCTGGGGGGCAGGGCCAGGTGGCTGGAGAACGGCCCTGCCTGGGGAGATTCAAGGCCCATCCAAAGCTGTGGGGGCAGTGGGAAGTGTCCTGCAGGGAGCAGGGGTAACTCCACCCCAGGAGGGGTTCCCCCACCCCAGAGCATGCTGGGAGTCAAATGGGGTGCCCTCCCGCCCCAGAGGATGCTGGGAGTGAACGGGGCACCCCCCGCCCCAGAGGATGCTGGGAGTCAAATGGCTGCAGGTGTCCGTGGGCCCCTCGGCGGGGCGGGCGAGCCCCGGGCAGCGCGTGGTGCTGGAGGGCCTCTTCGGGGCCAGCGACCCGCCCCTGGACCCGGAGCAGCTGCAGGCGCCGTGGCGGCACGAGGGGCGCACGGTGCTGGAGCTCGCCGGGGCGGGGCGGGGCGGGGCGGGGCGGGCGGCGCGGGCGGGACTCAGCCTGGACGAGGACGAGGGAGGAGCGGGAACCTCTCGCGGGCGCTGCAGGGCGTCACCCCCATGACAGCCGGGCCTGGACCTGCTACGTCCTCTGCCCGCCGACCAGGCCCAGGGCAGCCCCACCCTGCGCGTGGCAGGTGAGCACGGGGCGGGGGGGAAACCGGCCACAGCGCCCCCTGCTGGGGGGCACCGACCCGCCCGCGCGGCCCGTTCTCCTGCCCCCACACGGCGCCCCCTGCTGGGGGGCACCGACCCGCCCGCGCGGCCCGTTCTCCTGCCCCCACACGGCGCCCCCTGCTGGGGGGCACCGACCCGCCCGCGCGGCCCGTTCTCCTGCCCCCACACGGCGCCCCCTGCTGGGGCACCCCCCCCCCCCACGGCGCCCCTGCTGGACCCGCCCGCCCGCGCCCCGTTCTCCTGCCCCCACACGGCGCCCCCTGCTGGGGGGCACCGACCCGCCCGCGCGGCCCGTTCTCCTGCCCCCACACGGCGCCCCCTGCTGGGGGTACCGACCCGCCCGCGCGGCCCGTTCTCCTGCCCCCACACAGCGCCCCCTGCTGGGGGGCACCGACCCGCCCGCGCGGCCCGTTCTCCTGCCCCCACACAGAACACCCTGCTGGGGGGCACCGACCCGCCCGCGCGGCCCGTTCTCCTGCCCCCACACGGCGCCCCCTGCTGGGGGCACCGACCCGCCCGCGCGGCCCGTTCTCCTGCCCCCACACAGAACACCCTGCTGGGGGCACCGACCTGCCCGCGCAGCCCGTTCTCCTGCCCCCATGGCGCCCCCTGCTGGGGGGCACCGACCCGCCCGCGCAGCCCGTTCTCCTGCCCCCATGGCGCCCCCTGCTGGGGAGGTCCCACCTGCCCCACTACTCATAATGTCCACACCCGCCTTGCCAGCGCCCCTGCCCGCGGCTGAGGCCATGGCAGGAGTGGGGCAGGCTGCCGTGGGGCTGGGACCTCGCAGTGACCCTGACGCGGTGCCGTGCTGTTGTTGCAGACCCGTCGGCGCCCCCCGACGCCTGCCCCCTGGGCGGGGGCGCCCCACGGCTGCGGCAGCTGGAGGAGGCGATCGGGGGCTGCGTCCGCTTGGCCAGCGAGCTGCAGGGGCACCTGGCCCGGCTGGCTGCCGAGGTGAAGAGGTGTCTGGGCAGCCCGGAGGCCGAGGAGCGCCCGCCCCGGGCAGAGGCTGCGAGCACCAACCGGACGGCGCAGCCGTGAGCTCGCGGGTCGGAGGCCGGTCGTCCCCCCTGGCAGCGTCCCCGGGCACAGCTCCCGCAGCCATGGAGCTGGGATCCCCGCGGACGGATGGGGACACCCACCTCGTGGCAACGGCTTCGCGTCTGCAGGGCGTGACCACCACTCCGGGGGGCCGGGATCCTGCGCGCACATGGGGACACAGGCCCCGTCTCCCCTATGGGGCTCTGGGGTGACTTGAGCCGCTGGGGACGCCGGGGGCCGGACGTCAGATGGGGGAGGCCGGCTGGGTACAGGGGCTGACGGCTTGGCGTCCGTGGGGGGGTCTGTGTCCCTGCCCTGCTGGCTGAGCCGCTGGGAGACCCCGGGTAGCGAGCTGGGCGGGGACAGCGGGGTGGGGCGTCCATGGGGGGCTGTTGTTCGGCGTGTCGGGAGGGGGCTGCGCGGTGTGTGATCCCTGCCCAGCGCAGCCCCCTCCCGACACGCCGAACAACAGCCCCCCCTGGACTGCAGCACACGGATAAGGAATAAAACGCTGTGTTGATCAATACAAAGTGACGCACACTGGAAAACATCATCCCAACGATAGATACAGGATGATGGGGCTAAATTAGCTGTCACCACTCAAGAGAGATCTCCGAGTCACTGTGGCGAGGTCTCTGAAAACACCCTCGCAGTGGGCAGCGGCCGTCACAAAAGCGACCAGAATGCTGGGAATCCTCAAGAAAGGGAGAGATGATAAGGCTGAACGTATCATGTTGCCTCTCTATTGATCCCTGGTTTGCCCACGTCTTGAACACTGGGTGCGATGTGGTCGCCCCATCTCAAAAAAGATAGACTGGAATTGGAAAAGGTTCAGAAAAAGGCAACAAAGATTAGGGGTATGGAGAGGAGAGATTAATCAGACTGGGACTTTTCAGCTTGGAAAAGAGACGACTAAGGGGGGATATGATAGAGGTCTATAAAATCATGACTGGTGTGGAGAGAGTGAATCAGGAAGTGTTATTTACTCCTTCTCATAACATGAGAACTAGGGGCCCCCCAATGAAATTAACAGGCAGCAGGTTTAAAACAAACACACAAAAGCATTTTTTCACACCACGCAGTCGACCTGTGGAACTCCCTGCCAGAGGCTGTTGTGAAGGCCAAGA